GAGTCTGCCTCGTACCCGGGCAACTGAGGCTCTACAAGTACACAATTATTCAGAAGGAATCGTTTCGAGCAACGCCTCGAAGCCGATCGAATGCTCATCTCGATCGATGTATTTTCAAGTTCACACCCTCCCTCTTCTCTAAGTCTGCCCTCTCTCCCCTCTGTTCTTGTGAAGCCTCGCAAAGCCGCCATGACCTGACATCTCCGGCAGTTAGGCCCCGTGGGGCAGGACACCCTCTCAGTCCCAGCTCAATTCCAAGCCCTTCTCACCGTCCTTTTCATTCTCATTTGGACCAAACAAAAGAAAAAGAGCAAGAAAGGGGGGGGAGGGGCAGATTGCGTTCCCATCATAGAAGGATTCAGCTCTGGCGGCGAGGTGGGTGGCTTTGGCTGGTGCCTCTTTACGTCCACCCGGTCACTCTCCAGCAGCCCAACGAGCAGACCATATGGAAATTGTGTTAAGGTGTTTCGAGTTTATTCCTCGTACGGGCCCTCCCAGCCCCAACCTCTACACTCCGCCCTACTCCACATTTGCTGTTATAACGAGTGTAGCTTTGGCCGGCGTAGTGTAGAAGTGGCGTTCCTCCTTGCTGCTTGGCGTGGCCTGCTTTCTGCGCACTTCCGCACTTCCGCACATCCTCCAAGTTCCCCGTGCTCCCCGGTTTCGTAAAGGGCACGGTTCGTCGAAGCCGCCTCTCACAAACGAGAGAAGCCATGGTACGACTCATCATCGGCATGTCAAGTGACACCTCATTACTCGTTCCATGTATTCTCTTGCCGCAGAAAGAAAATCACGTCGTTCTCTCCACGGCCCGTCAGATGCAGCCGAGACCAATTCCGCCTTGGGTTTGCAAACTCAGTGAACTGTGCAAGAAGGAGAGCTTATGCAACCCTCCAACCGAACTCTGTGAGATTCCCGTCCTCTTGTTATCACCAAAGTCCTTCTACGTTAATGTCCACCAGAGTATTCCCGGTAGAAGTCGCGTCTACCGTGCCAACAGCGCGTTCTGTGGCGGAACCGAGCTCTTGGTAACCCCGAGCGCGCGTGTAGATTAAATCTTGCAACCACCACGGCCTCTCCATCTCCGCGAGACCGACGCCGGAGGTACTGCCCTCTTGACACATGATGTCGTGAGACTAGGATCTGTTTCCACAATGATCCGTCACAGAACGATAACGGGTGACGGGCTCGAGGTAAACAACAGGCCACGGCTTGCCAACCAACCCTTGTCTTCGCTGATAGCCTCGACAACTCGGCGTCTCGTTACTCACACGGTAAGATAGCGGCGTGCAGGCCTTTCGGAGCCTGTGGTGAGGGGGAAATTGGCCGTTGACAGCCTTACTTTCCTCTTGGCGCCGGCTTTTGTTGAGGACAAGGGGTAGATAGTATCCAGGACGACAATTCTGTCGTACAATGTACTTTTACCTAACAGTACGCTGCCCAGGTAAATATAATTCCTAAGATTGTAGACGACACTGTAATTGACAAGTATAGGTACTTCATTGAGGCCGGAGTAAAAGAATCCCTGATCCCTACAAGCCCGCCTTTGTGCACGTTGGACCCCGGGAGATCGCATGGCGACTCCAGGGTTTGAGGAGATCGCCATCGAGCCCAGCGTTGCTTGATAGGAAAAAGGTAGTAGAACCAAGAAGAACGTGAAAAAATATTTATGGAGTGCGGCCCCTCGAGTTGCCGCGCCTGTAATCTGTCCCCTGTTCGGCCGCCAGCCCCCTTTATTTTTCTCTTCCCATTCCATTGTTTCAGATGGTAGCCGCAGTGAGAAGTGAGTAGTAAGAACGCTGCTTGCAATACTGAAGTTTCGCCTGTATTCATTCGAGATCCAAGTCCATAGGGTCATCCGCAAACGAGTCTGTATCCCCCTCGCTCACGGTTGTTCGTTCGAAACGTGTATTCCTGGAGTTTCTCAACCTGTCAATATAAATAGTGTACTGTAGCAACTCTAGCAACCTTTTCAGTACCACTAACCGTCAGTAAAAAGACATAGAGCAGAGGAAGCGAGGACAGTGCTACAAACCGAGTTGCCCTCTCCGGATTCATGGCGATTCTACGTAGCATGGCAAGTATCCTGCGGTACCTTCTGCGGGAGAGGCTGGCGTTGGTCGGCATTTCAAGGCGTTTGAGCTGCTGCGGCCACGGCTTCAGATCGAGGCTGAAATGATGGTGCCAATGAGGCGAGTGGCTTGAAGATTGTCCAACCCGCGGGCACTGGGGCGTTGCTCGTGTTATATACTCTGAATTTTATGCAAGAATACATCCAGATGCATGAATGCTTTTTTCCTCCAGCACAAATAGCACATGATACGATTTCCTTTGATATCCTGGAGGCGGCTGTATGGCTATCGGGGCCGCGAATAGACGTCAAGATCAGGTGGTGGTAGAGAGCAAGAGCATGGATACTCTCCATCCCTGGTCACGTATAGATCCCAATTGAAGGACTCGCACACTGTTGGGCCCACAAGGAGCACTACCCGCCCGTCGCCTTCGGCCTTGCATTCTATGCTGCCGCTTCTTCCCCCCCGGAAGCCGGGGCTTGAACCACCTCCTGCAGGCCAACATATCCGGCCTAGAGGCTCCGGATGCTGCACGGAAGATATCCGACAACCCCGTCTCATCTCGCCACACGGGGGACGAGTATCTTGGGTAAGACAAGCGGACCATGGGGACGAGTATCTTGGGAATGAAAAGCGGACCTGTCACCCCTGACCTGGTGGTTGCGTGGAGCATCTTTCCTGGCGACCGTAGGACTTGAGAAGCGGCTTCAAGCAAGTCGGTCGGAGAGCTACCTGCGAATCCTTCTGCCGCTCTACCGTGAAATCTATGCATTCAGTGACTATTAAGGAAAGCTGCGGGACCTGTCATTGTTGGGAACACGGTGCAAGAGGCGGCCATAGACCTAACTCAACTGCCAGCATGATAAGCCCATTAGGACAAACTCTTGGATTATGACGGAGTCTCTGACTCCGTATTGGAATTCCGACGGGTTGTCAAGGGTTGTAAAGGGTAGCCAAAGTGTTGTCGCTGCCCGTCGACACAACGCAAGTCCCATGAGTAGCCGCACCCATGTCCCGAACTACAAAGAAAAGCCGAGGGGAAGAAAGGAAGAGAGGAAAGAGGAAAAAAGGAAAAGGGGAAGAAAGGTAAAGAGAATAAAATGGAAAAGAGATAGAAAAGGAAAGGGAGAAGGGACAGGGAGAAAACAAAGCTAAAGGAGAAAAGAAAAGAGACAGAGAAAAGCAAAGAGGGAGAAAAAGGAAAGAAATCCGCTAGGGAAAAAGGAGCCAGAAGGAAGAAAAAGAAAAGCCAGAACGACGAAAACAGAAGCAGAAAGAAGAGAAGGGAGCCAGCATTATGCCAAAAGCGGGAGTGCTACCTAGCAGTGCAACCAAAATCCGGACGCCTGTTCTGCTGCCTCATGGTCTGCCTTGTCTGCCTCGCCGAGTCGTGTTGGTTGTCGACAGCATCTGGCGGGAGCCCCGCAAGGCTGAATTACACATTCACTCGTTATAATCAGACTCTTTGGAGATGAAGTGTTGATTGAGTTTTAAACTATGTCGCTTGGTTGTGACGAGTAATGCTCTTCTGGCCCCATCGCAGGAAAGGGGGGTAACTCTGAATATATGCATCCCATCTCCGAACACAAACCGCTCCAAGGTTACAAGGGCAAAAGGATTTTATCCAAACAATAAAAATCTTAGATCCCCAAATTCTCACTACCTAGGCACTTCAAGTCCTAGCCGGGACAAAGCGCCTGCTTGACTGCTCGGGAGGACGTTCTGTAGCATTAGCATCACTACGCGTTGAAAGTCTTCATCGCATATGGATCTAATTCGATTGCGTGATCGCCAAATGCGACCGAATGGTGGTTTTCCTGATCATTACAAGCTCATAGGGACTAACAGGAACTATGAAGTTTGCCTCTCAATTCCGGTCAATATCTCTGGAGTGTCTACCACCTACTATCTTTACGCACAATATTCGGCCGTGTGGTCGCTGATCTCGCCCAAGTGAAACGACTTCCACGCAAGGTCGGCCATGGCGGGAGGGAGCTTATTATAAAGGGCGTTCAGGATGATTCAGACAGGCCATTTCCAAGTAATCCTCTTTAACAGTCCTGCGATAGAGCTTGTGACTTCCAGGGCCAGTCCAGCTTGACCCAAATCGCATAACGTTCCAATCGAAAAACGCCCATGCAGAGAAGGTTTTTCGACGTGCCTGTCCGGACCGCTCCCACCGACCCCGTAGGGAAACAAGTCGTCACCACCAGCGGCTGGAAGTCATTGGGGTGTTCTCGACACTCGTCCGTCAGTATAACCTCTAGACTCCTGGTTTCTTGTCTCTATCACGGCCATTCTGTACCACGTCCTCTCCTGTACGGCGTGCTGACTTGATTCTACCTAATTCTAGCGACTGGACGGCATCACATGGAGGCCCTCGACGAGATGGATGGAGCGGCTTCGCTGCTCTGGCGTCATCTGCGTCGCCTTCGCCAGACACCATCGGCAATCTGGAGTCTTTGAACCCGTGGTTGCTTGGCTTTTGCGCCGCTGGGGGTCTGGTGTTTACCCACGCGGCATGTTGGCGGGCAACAGCCACGTACCTTGGGTGCACAGGCTTCATTCACATCGGCAAAGAACCCGCAGCAGATTGCTTTGAAGAGTAAGATATCGCTATATAGGCTCTTTAAATTCTGTTCTTGGTCTCATGTAACAAACATCAACACAGCACAGAGCTCCCCCGTCATATCCCATACCACACACACTTACTTCCCTTTTAGAAGAATTTCGACGTCAGGCCTCCCACAATCATGTTCCGCTTCTGCCGCCCAATAAACTTATTCACGTCGTCCGCCCACCCCTCCGACTGCTCCTGCAGCGTATTCATCGTATCCCCCATGAGATTCAGCTTCTCCGTCCTCTCGTTCAGCTGCCGCGTCAGGTAGTCGCCCCAGCCCTCCGCCGACGAAGATCCGCCGGCCGGAGTGTTGACAGCTCGCTGCTCCGCCGCGGCGGCCTCCATCATCCTCTTGCTGGGCGGTCTGTTAGCGCCTCCGACCAGGAGATCGAGGTCCAGCGGCGATACATGCTGCGTTCCACTGATCCACTGCAGGTTCGAGATGGTCGGACGAGGCGGGATGTCGATCTTGGGGTTGATCAGACGATCCGGGGATTGCTGCAGCTCCTTGCCCGTGCCCCAGACATGCACGACTGCCATCTCCGCGGGTCCAGCCCAGGCAAAAATGTCGCCGGTCGGTGTCACGATGGTCGCTGTGCTGCGCGTGCGGTCCACCATCGGCAGCTTGGCACTGCCCAGATCTCGCATGCCCGGGATGCTGTATGCCCTGGCTGATCCATCTCGGAAGGCGGCAACGATGGCGTAGCCCTGCAGCTCGAGTTCCGCTACGCATGCCGAGTCACATAGTACATCGTCAAACTCTTTGGAGGCGCCCTTTGAATGGGCAGGCTTGAGTATCCTTATCTCCTTCTCGGTGACTGTTGCCGTGGTTAGCTAGACTGTCCATTGAGAAATGAGCAAAAAGAGAAGACATTTACCTGCAACTAGAGCGCCATGCACTTGACGCCCCTCTCGCAGTCCAGCCACTATTTGACCAGTGGCCAGCGCAGGTTTGCCGGTATCGGCTTGGATCGGATTCAAAGAGACGACTCTTCCGTCGAATGCCACCATGCCCGCCACTTCAGCCGTGTACGACCCGCCTGCTCCGGGCAGCAACTTCATGGTAATGACTTTGCCCAGGTTGGTCCCCACAAAGCAGCATATTGATGAGTATTTATCGTCGTCCAGCGTCATGACGCCAAATTCCATCACCGAGGGCCACTCTTTCAGGGGCGCTGAGCTGGATCTAGAGTGGCCCTTGAGAAACCCCTTGCGGTTCTCGGGCTTGGCGAAATCAGTCATGGGAGCTTGGAAGATGATCTTCGGACCGCGAAGGTCGATTATCGTTAGGAAACCGAGCTCTGAGCCAACCGCGACGAAGCCGACGTTGGAAACGCGGATGGCAGTGATTGGGCCCTGCATCATCTCGTACAGGACAAACGGCTGTAGCCCTTCCTTTAGGTTCGGCTCTGCTCTGGAGCTGATATCTGAGAGCCCCATGGGGTTCGGATCAAGCTGCTTGGGCTGATTCTTGCCGTAGAATGGATTTACGCCCCAGCGGAACACCACGGCCTCACCGGTCTTCGTTCCAGCGGCGAACTCGCCCGTAGCGCCCGCCATGCTCATCGCCGTCACCTCCACATCTTCGAAGCGATCCAAAGCTCGTGCCATGTCGACCTGCAGCTGGACCTCGTTCTCGATCTGGTCAGCATGCCCAGAGTCCCAGAGCCTAATGATGCTGTCTGCATGCGCCGTCTGGATGATTGTGCGGTCTTCAAATCTCTTCCTTGGTCTCACTCCAGCTGCTCCGCCCTTCACCAGCGGCTCTCCTTGGTCTCTCTTCTCCACCATGGATAGCCACCGAGGCCGGTCGACGCTCGATACGTTGAATTTGGTGACGAAGGGGTGTACGAAGAAGGTTGACGGGTGGAGTTGGTTGGTAGGGCTGATTGGGTATCCCGAAGGAAAGCTGAGTGTAATCAGCTCCCCAGAAGTCAGTAGCACAAGCACGGCAATGGGGTCTTGTGCGCCACCAAAGTAAGGAGAGTCTCTCGGAAAGAGCAGAAAATCAACTGCCTGGGCTCCCGGCGGCAGATTCAGCGGAATATGTCGCTTCCCACGGAAGTGGTTTTCCAAGCCCTGCCAGGTGGAGGTGGCATATATCGGCGTCATTCCCAGCTCGACAAATGTCATGCTCTTGGGCGACGCATCGGGTGCCTGGCCGCCGGCAATCAACAAGCCCGTGTCGTCGCAGTTTTGCTTGCAGCACCAAGCTATCTTGACGTATGGATCGGAGTATCCCGGAGTCGGTGCGCTGGGGGTCGCATGCTGGATGCCCATCTCGGTGAGAGTCCTCGCCATGACGACTTTTGCTTCTTTGGGGTCCCAGAAGACGAGGCTGCCGTCGTCATGCGCGGTAAGGACAAAGGTGCCCGAGGGGTGCCACAGAGCATGGGTCAACCGAGGCCGGCGCACCGTATCCATGCCGATGCTGTTCCCTCCCGGCGCCCCGACCGGGAGAACATACTCGAGGAACTGCTGCGGCTGGTTCTGCTTGAAGGAATAGATGACGGCACCGTGACTGTACCCGATCAGGAGCTTGCCGGCATCTCGGGGATGCATCGACAGGGTGACGAGCGTAACAGTGTGCTGCACCGGATCCTTGGCCTTCCAAAAGTTGGGCAGCCGGAACGCCCGCGCAAGCATGTGCCGATCGAGGTCGTAGGCCACAATGTCCCCGTTGTGCATGCCGATAAAGGCCCAGTCGAGCATGGGGTCCGTCACCATGGCGCTGACGGGGCCGCCAATGACCTGCGCGGCCACGCGCTCGCCCGTGTCGAGGTCCCAGAGTCCCAGCTCATTGTTGCGGTCGAGGCTGACGAGGCGGTTGGCGCTGAACTGGATGCTCTTGAACGAGGTGCGGCGCGGCGGCTCAAACGTCTTCTGCACGCGCTGCTGGCCAAAGACGTAGATCTTGCCGGCGCCAAACTTGCTCTCGGCGGTTCCGATGGCGAGCAGCGACTGCACCGGATCGTAGGCAAAGCAGCTGTGCGTGTCGTGTGGTCAGTCATCGCATCTGTATAGCTGTGGTGTGTAATCTCTGCATCCTCCGCAAAACCGCCAACCCTCGACGTCGTCGTCGTCGCCGTCGGCTTCTTCGCGCTCCCGCGTTTGGCGGGGCACAGTTGCGTCATAGCCCACATCTGTCAGAGAGAGCTCACCTTATCTGAGAGTTGAGGCCGTATCGCGCGTGGTCGTCGGGCGCAAACAGCTCCGGGCGGATGCTGCCGGACAGGTCGTTCTGGATGCCTGCCTGCTTGCCTCGCAGAAAGCTCGCCATGGTGGGTGTGGCTGGAGGTTGGAAGGGAAGAGAGGAAACATCAGGGGTTCAGATCGGTTGCTCGGCTTTCAATCCGTGACTGGAATTTCTATCAGTAGGGGCTTGGCTTGTTAGACGACAAGCTCAGCAAGACGCGGGATCCATAGCGGGGTTCTTGGCTGGTCACGGATCCCAGGCGTGCTGAATCACTCAACGCAAGACGGTCCTGATAATACAGCCATATTGCCGTCACATCAGCTCGATTTGTCACCTGAAGCTTGGCCATCTTATATCAGCCTCTGAAGCCAAGTCCACCATCACATCACCGCATTCTCTCATCTTCTTGCGTCTGATATACCTACACAGCTCTTCAGGTCAGCAATGTCCACACAACCCAACTTCACGCCCACCTTCGTCTTATCCCTCCAACCCACTCACTCGAGTCTACAAGACGCAGCACACCTACGCAGCTTCACAAGGTCAACACCAATGCGTGTCGATTACCTAGACTATCTGGGCTTGTTTATGGTAGCAAATATAACCTCCACCGCCATCTCCCGCCAATCCGGTCGCCCCTTTTGTTCATGTTTCACGTCCGCTTCATAATCGTCCTAAAATGAAAAGCAAAGCCGTTTCCTCCTCCCCTTACCGCCAGCCACAGCTAGCAGCCGCTGAATCCTCCAACACTCTCGTAAACTCATACTGTCCTTCGTTCGATTCCACCACCATTCCGCTCGCCGTCGCGACCGCTTAGATGTACCACATGGTGCCTCTGAAGAATTCTCTCTGTCTCATCTCTCCGTCAATGGGAGTATTATTCTCCGGTTTTCCGCCAAGCTGGAGAAGAGATGGGGCATCGCTGCCCCGTTGAGGGACGCTCATCGACTCTCCCTTGGCCACCTTGTCGCGGATCATCTCGTGACCCTTGGCGCCGGCGCGGAATCCCTCGCTCGTCGCAATGTTTTCGTGAGCGCGGGCACGGCTGCCGGCGAGATGTGCGTAGTAGACGGCCGGATGAAGCGACACCGGCGTCGTCGATCGGGCGTAAGAGTAGCACTGATGATAAATCATCTTCTGCAACTCGTTTACCGGGATGTTCATCTCGTCGATGAGCACGTGGTAGTGGACAGGCCGAGCCGTTCCCTGGATCGCCACGTGCGAGCAGAGGTAGAAGTCGTACATGAATGGGTGAGTAACCTCCTTTTCCACCAAAGTTCCGGGCAAGGCGTTTCCGTTTCGGTCCCCCTTCTCAGGGAAGAAGCGGATGTGGTGACGCTTCGTCGCCACAATGACCGTAAACTTGGGCAGCTGTTGGCTGGGAGCCGCCTGCTTGAAGTAACCTTTTATCTCCTTGATTTCCTGCTCAATGACATGAGCAAACTGTCCCTCTGCGACTCCATCCCGGAAGTAAATGACGTGCTTGGGGAACTGGCGGTCGTGCCCGTTCATCCAAACCTTGCAAAGATGGCCGAACAGAGTATGGACGTTGGCGTGGCTGAGCATTTCCACCCGGTAGCCATTCGTCTCAACCATGGCGGCATACTTGGTTGCGTCTCGGTCCACCGACATCGTCATGGCCGCCACAGAGGGAGACGGGCCGCCGGGAGCAGCGTGAGAAATGTCGACGCCCACAATCATGGTAGGCCGGTCCTTGGGGAAATAGGTCCCCTGCATCTTCCATGGAGGATTTGTGCGGGACGTCGATCCGCCGAGTTTTGCGTTGACCTTCATGCACACATTGGAGTGATATTGGCCGTTGTTGGACGCAACAGAGGCACCATTCACAACCTGGGTCAGGACGCCGAAGCGGCAGTCAGCAGACTTCTTCAGCCGCTCGTAATGAGGGCTGTTCTTGTGCTGAACAACGACAAAGATGAGCTGCGTATATCCCCGCTCGCGAGTGATCTGGTTGTGTGCATAGGCGAGTGCTTGAGCAACATTGTTCTTGACGTGGCCCGGCACGTTGATCAAAAGAGGGTCGTTCTTGCAAATGCCTCCGTGGCCCATAAAGGTCGTCTTGAACGTGCGGGCAAACTGCTGAAGCTGCGAGAACTGGACACAGTCATCCATGACGATGAAGCCCCAGTTGATCAGAGGGGCGACGTTCGGCTTGAAGAACTTCTTGCCGCGAAGATCCCAGCGGCCAGAGTACTTGGGGTCAGCTGTACCCTGGGCAAAGTTCACGAGAGGGGCGTTCAAGACCCTGGCCTCTGTCTTGGCGAACTGCGTTTGCAGTTCCACGCCGTAGAATTTGAGATAGGGATCTTGCTGCAGGCGAAGGTCTCCGATGTTCTTCATAATGTCGCCCTTGCGAACGTTGGGGCGGGTCACAGCAATCTTGATCATTGCTGCCGTCTGTTCGGGATTCAGCTTGAAAGCGTATCTTTGCATCGGCTCAACAAAGGCGAACTCCATCGGGATGTGTCCATTCTTACCCGTCGCGATCAGAGGGAGGAAGGGGTACTTCAAGGTGGCATTGTACTTCTCTCGGTAGTAGTCAGCCACCGAGATCTCACGGCCATTGTAGTCAAACTTGACTGTCACAGCGTTGGCACCGCCCTGCGGTCCGTATTTCTGATCGAATGCAAAGTCCATCACCGTGTAGACCTTCTCTGCAAGCTTAGGGTCGCGGTTCATGTGTCGGATGGTAAACTTGAGTTTGCGCATCTTGCGAAGTTGCTTGAAGGCATCCGATGATTGCCACTCTCCCTTGGCATTTCGAACCGGGTTGAAAATCTTCGTAGTAGCAACTTCCTCTCTCTGATAGCGCTTGTCCAGTGTGCGGAGAAAGCTCATCATGTACTGGTCCATGGTCTGTCGACCCGTCCAAAAGCAGGTGTTGGTAACATCTGCGTTCAGAGCAAGACCGATGCCTCCCTTGGAAAGATTGTTAGACAGTCGAAGAGAAACGTAGGTCCCCTTGTGAACGGTGATTACTCCATCTCTGAGGAGGGGAACTCCGGCTTCGTTCTTCTTGTAAAAACTGCGCTTGATAGCCAGCAAATGCTCAGACGGCCACTGGCGAATGAGGTGGTCCATGAAGTTGAGTGCTTCCTGGACGCTGTTGTTGAATTGCATCTTCCTCTCCAGATAGCCCCGGAGAGCGCCCATCTGAATCTCCGTAGTCTTGCGAAGCATGACGTAGAACTTGTTGGAACGCCCGGAGCGTCCAGGAGGCTTGCCACCGTCCAAATCGACCGTGACTTGAATCTCGCCGCGGTCGACCAAGGCAGGAGACCATGCCAAGCGAGACCCGTCCATGATCCACATGGGGTAGTTGTACGCGGCGAGTGCATTCTTGAGGTTGGCATGAGCCCAGATCTTCTTCAAGACGGGGCCGCGTTTGTCGGGTTCCGGCGAGAGAACCACCTATCCAATGTACGTTAGTAATGAGGCATTCCAACTGTAGATATCAAGTGCAACTCACGTCGTATTGGTATATCTTCTTGCTGAAGTCAAATTTGGTCATTCGTAGTTGATTGACTTCAACAATCTCAGGTCGGCCTTCGGAGGTCAGGTTTTTGCCGCGAACAGCAAACACATCTTTCTGTGCCTCATTGTCAAGAAAAGCATCGGCGGGCAATTCCATACGAGTATTGCCCTTTCGATCCTTGCTCTCGGGCTTCGCGGGATCAAATCCCATGCTGGGAGCCCAGCCAGGGCGCGGACCGCCGGACGGCGAGCCTTGTGCCGGTGAGCCTTGTCCCGGAGGGCCTTGTGCTGGAGAAGCACCACGGCTTCTTGCAGAACCTGCCACAGAGGGTCCACGAGAGTGGTGAGGGCTGCCTTGTCCAGGCGTGCCATGCCCGGAGGCGGCAGGGGAGCGGCCTCGCTCAGACATGTTGAGAACTGTAATGGAATCAGAGTTAGTAAATCATGTGGACAGACATAAGTAGAAAATGTGTAGTGCCTCGTAGAAGCGTCTCGAGTCCTCACTGAAACTGCCAGCTCAAGAGAGAAGTGCCAAGTCTGAGATGGGAAAGCAGAACAAAAGCGTGGCCGACCGACTTACTTCTGACTTTCTGTCAAAATCACGATAGTATTCACCGTGGAGACGAATCTCTGCTGATGTCTGTTCCAATGTTAGATCTGTTGTAAAGTTATGGACGTGGTAGGATCTGGAGTTGCTAGATTTGGAGGAGATAAGGAGATGGAGGGGGAAAGGGTTTTTGTAACAGACGTACCCGGCAATATCGACGAGCTTGACTCGATGATGCTGAAGACGGTCGCGTGTAAGGATATGAAGGGTAGGCGTCGCCAAGTCCTGATGGTGAGGCAGTGCCTGCGCAACGAGTCTGCCAGAGGTCAGAGTAATGCTATAGAATGTGACGTGACAACGGTAGAGGAAGCTGAAGGAATTCACAAGAGGTAAAAACTGAAGGAATAGATACTGTATGAGGCGGCAAAAGGGTAATTTTAGGTGTTGAAGGCTGTGAAAGGAGAAGCGAGGAGTTGAGGAAAGGGTAAAAATCAACAAAGGCCACTCACCAAAGTTGACGATCGAGAAAGCCTCCCACAGGCTTAGCACAAAGGAGTGCCGAAGGCCAGAAGAGGTTTAAGAGAAAGCTCTGCCAAAACAGAGAGAAGAGGGCGTGCGGAGCAGGAATGCTGCGGGTGTGTGGAAGAGGAAAGTAAGAAGAGAAGAGGAAGAGGAGGAAGCGAAGCCGTTATATAGGCGCCGATGGCCTCAGGCAGCTGGCAGGAGAAGGAGTGATCCGTGATGCAGAACACGTGAGCACAGCTGCCAAACAACTTGCAGATCAAGGCGGCAGCTGCATCACGGTGAAGAGCAGCAGGGCGGGCGGTGTCTGGCAATCAGTGCAGAGGCTGGCGGGAGGAAGCAGCTGCCAGCTGTGGAGGAGTGAAGCGAGCAGACACCACCACACAGCTCGGCAGCTCCTCAACTTTGTGATGGCGTGGGGGCGTCTTACAATATGATAGTGAGAGAGGAGTATAGAGAATAGTATCGAGACAGGAAACTAAACTACTATAGAGTCTTTCTATCAATACGTGCATGGTGTCATTGATTTCTGTCACGACACCGCCCTTTTGGTGCAGATGACCGCGGTTGGGCGCATCTGGATGCTTTGCTGTAGCTGCCAAGCGGCTTCGTGCTGCTGCCGGTCGGACTAAGTGAATGAACTCGGACAGGAACCGCTTGTTGGGGCAGCAGTTTGATCTCAAACTGTTGGGAGGGTTCATCGATTCGCGACGAAAGGACGGAGCAAGCTATATTCAAAGTGATATCAAGAAGATCAAGAGCTACCAATGTAGGTATTTAAGCAAAACCTTTTAAGAGAGTCAAGCCGAATCGATGGTGAAGTCTCTCTCACCTTGCTTTGACTAGTAGGACAATATGACGATATCTTCGGAGGAAGAAGTCTTGACTGGCAATTAGCAGATTACCACTTACAGACAAACATAGAGCAGTCAAAATACAGAGCTTCGTCATTACATTAGTCTCTGGCCTGAAGCTACTCGAGAGTAAGGTATATCACCAAGGTGCATGTACTTGTTGGCCTTGAAATGTCCGTCAGCGTCGGCATGCTGTCTCTATGGTTACAATGGTAAATGTGATAGCCAGACAGGATCCGTGTATCAGAGCCTGTGTTATATAGCTGTGATTCGGTAGGCAGGGCCTGATTCAGACAACTTCGTCTAAACAAGGTGATTTTTTCAAACCAGCCGACACCCATCTACCAAGCCCATACAGCAGCTTGGGCAGCTTTGCTTGCTTGCCCCTCTGGATGCCTCACACAGGTCTCACTTTATGTCGACATCAAGCACAGGAGACAGCGATTTGCACACTTCCGTAGCTCCAAATTTGCTGCATATATCACCTTCATACATCGGATGGCACCTCGATTGCTTCTGCGTCTGTGAGACGAGTCACGCATGCTTGTTGCTGGGCACATGTATTTATTATTCATATCATATCCCGTAATCAGCTGCACCTGCAAACTAACGACCAAAGTCTTGCAATCTCATGGAGAGATGCAAAAAGGTGTTTGCCTGTGATATCTAGTGTAAATAGGCAAACCTGTCCAACGTTCCTATTTCCTACCAAACGCCGTCGGAATGCATCAAGAAGGGCAAGCATTTACCGCCATCTACTATCCATCAAGCCAAATCTTCCCATCCTTCACTCACTCCGGTGGTAGTTGTCCAACTCGCGAAATATAGTTCAAGTCCTCCATCGCACAACCTCAAAACCTTTTCCCAGACTAGAAGCGGTATCCTCCATACTGACCAGGAGCCGGGGCATTGTATCCCGTTGGCGCTGGGGGCCATTGGGTTGGAGCTGCATTTGCATCGGTCCCTCCGTATGGGGCCGTGGGGAACGCATTTCCAGCTTCTGCTCGCAGAGGCGACTGTCTGTAGACATTAGAAGCAGGGGCAATACGTCCATATGGACTGATTGGCCTTGAGAAGTCCCCTGAAGCCTGTCGACCATGGACGGGGGCGGTGAAACGATACTGCCCTCCAGTCTGTGCCTTCCAGGTGGCATAATCAGGAAGCGGCGTGTCCCGGAGCAGTGAGACCATGCCAGCTGGGTTCAGTCGCTGCGAGTCATAGGTGTGGGCGGGGGGCAGGATACCAAGGAGGAATGTGATGTCTCGATGGAGAGCTGATGACTGATTGCGGCGCTGCTGGTCAAGTCGTCGGCCAGCTGCCCCTTTAAGAGGAGAGGTGCCTCTAGCAAGTCTCTTCGGGGGATTGAGTTCCTCGTCATCTGGCCCAAGAGGCCGTTTGGGAGACGCAGTGGCTCTGACGTACTGGGGCCGAGGGCTCTGCTCTCTCGGTGGGGGGAAGCTGTTGCGGGATGATGCAGGTTGCTCGATGATAGGGGCCGCAAGCTTGGGCCGCATTTGCGCAGCTTTCGAAATGATGACGGGGGCAGCGATCGGGTCAAACTTGTCAGACGAGTAGCGAGCCGCAAAATATTTGAGCTTTGGGTCTTCGGGAAAGAGCTCTGCCATCCTCGCCTCGAGTTTGTGAATCTGGGATAGTTCGCCGTATTGGGATTCATACTTGTGAAAGTACGAGTATAGAGGTTTGGCTTTGTGGAGTGTCTCTGGATTGGCGACAAGGCGGTTAACACAAGTCTCGAAAACCACCCGAGCATCTAGATAGCCGTTCGTTAGTAACCGTGCCCCATGTGGAAAGAACAAAAACAGGGGGACTCACTTGTTGTATCATCCTTGGAATGCAAAAACTTCAAATACTCAACGATGAAGCCCTCGTCGTTTGGAAACAGGCGGGCTCCGCGCTCAAAGATCTTGGCGCCGACTGGATCCTTGTATACGACAGACTCCAGCAAGGCGACGGCGACATACACGTCACTGGTGAGACGTCCCTTTTGCCGAGCATCGGTAAAGACCTTGCGCAATCCACCATCTGTCTGATTGCCTTTTCCCTGAATGCGGCGAATCGCCCTGGCCATGGCAATCCATACATACGAGATTGTGCGAGAAAGTATGTTGGTCTCGGCAGCGTAGCCTTTCTGAATAGCAGTAATGCGCTCCTCGACAGAAGTCTTCTTCGACGTTCCTTCTTCGTAGTCGTCGTCGTAGTTTTGCTCAATGGACTGCTGCAGGGGAGCCTCTTGTGCCGCCGCTTGCTTCAAGGTGGAGATTTCCAGCTTCTCGCGCTCCTTGGCCTTGTCTCCCAGTGCATACAGCGTGTTCAGAACATCGTCGAAAGGTTTCCTCACGGCCTTGGCAAACTCAGCCTTGTCTCCCTCCCTGAGCGGCGAAGTAGCCTCGATGTGGTCTGCGTGCTTCAGAGCAAGCAGGACACTCTCGGGGTTCGCGGCAATTCCTTGCATCAAGAACTCGACGCCCAGTTCCTTGTCCACCTCGGCAAGATCGCTCTGAAGGCACCATTCGGCCGCATCGACCCAGAGTTCTGGCCAAAAGCGCAGAGCCATGAGGGCCTGCTTGTAGCAGTACAGGACTCGCTGTGCGAATACTTTCGGCTCATCAGCCTTGAGCACCAGTGGATCTTCCTTCTCCCACTCGATCCATTTCTTCCAAAGCGCAACCTGGTGACGGAACTCTTGGTCTCCTTCGAATCCGGGAGCCGGCGGCAGTCGGGGGAGATTTGTGCGCTTCAAGTCTCTGGTAATATTATCCAGGGCAATATTGCCGCTCTTGGCAGACATGTATCCAGGAGATCGCTCCTGGATGAACTTGCGTCCCGTCACCTTGTTGAGCCCCATCTCAAACTGATCGTACTCCTTCCAAAGATTATTCACTGTTGACATGGGAACGGTTATCGCGCGGTGATAGGCTTTGCGCAGCTGGTCCATCTTTTGCTGATCTTGCCAGCCGGTGCCCCCGATCTGGCCAGGGCCACTCTTGATGAACTGGACGTAGTCTTGCCAGATGTTGCCCGAGTCCCGGTCCACACCAATGTTGTCGATTACAAACTCATACGCTTGCGTCACAGTTCTCCTGGCTTGGCCCGTCGGGTCATTGTTGAGATCGTTCCGACGGCGGATGTAGTTGAGGTAGACTGTCCAAAGCTTGACGTTGGGGACCGTCATCAAGCACCGCCCAAAGAGCTGTTCCGCATCGACAAAGTTGTCCATGCCGAGTTCCATTTCGATCCATTCCACCCACACGTCGGCCTATCCATTGTCAGTCATGTACGAAAGCAGACCCATCCAGCCTGGCGGAAGCAGCGTTGACTTACCGATTGGGGAAAGACCTCTAGGAACCGGTTGTAAACCTTGCGAAGATCGTCCAACCTGCTGTTGCGCCTATGGTCGGCGATGAGATTCAGCCACGCATCCATGTCCCCTCGAGGATCCTCCTTAATGCGAGCCTCGAGCAACGCTACCGGATCAAGGCTAGCCACTGGTGTTGCAGTCACATTGGAAGGAACATTGGTGGAAACAGGAGGGACTGGAGCATTTGCCATCTTGATATCGGTGGACTGACCAGCTTGGCTCTGTGATGCCGAGGGCTCGCGCTGGCCAGGGCCTGCTGCATTGTCTCCTTCGTCCTCGTCCTCGTCCTCGTCGTCGGAGGCTTCCACTAAGAAGCCGCCCGACATTTTTGGCTTGGATGATGGAGGACGTTGCGAAAGGACAGTGGGAGCGGCTTTTTCAGGGACTGGGGGGTCTGGGAGAACTGATTCAACGGGGACATATTCGGGATCATATTCCCCTCCATCCTCGGTTCCATTATCCGCTGATTCACCTGACACATGGGAGTCTTGAGCAAAGTTATCAACTTGTTCGTCGCTATGCTGAGTATGATCGCCTTCCGCGGCCGCAAATCCTTCATTGCCCCACGAAGTTTCTTCGGAAGCCATCTTGCGAGGCCTTCTGTATCTTCAACTTGGAACACCACAGTGACGCCTGTGGAGGTCTATTGAGGGGGCGGATCTGTTTCGACGATGGGGGTGCGTCAATGGCCGACGCAAAGGGTAGGACAAACTCGATGGGCTCTCGCTTGGCAGAGATGCCAAAGTGCCGCGGCGGTTTCGGATCGATCGAGTTTCAGAAGAATGCTAACTCTGGATTAGAACCAAATCAAGTTGCTGTATATCATAGTCATCAGATATTCTTACCGAGTCTCGCAAGGCCAATCCAATCCAGGGTCTGGCGGTAAATGCAGAACCGTCTGCCGACCGGTAAATCGCGTCGCCGTTGGTCAGCGTCGAGGTCGAGGTCGCAGCTGCAGCGCCTTGCTCGAAATGGCGGCAAATGGATGTCGATGCGGTGCAAATCAAGCTTCCGTCCAGCTGCAGCAGCGCAGAGCAGCGATGCCTGTGTCAAGTTCGAAAGCGCGCACCGAGAGTTGTGTCTGAACGAGATGATGCGATGACGAGGTCAGAGGTCAGAGTTTGGAGCTCTGAAAAATAGAGTCGCCCAAAGCTCCCGATTGGGGAAAGGCTGCACGTTGACCAGGCTGGAGAGAGCGCCGGTACGAGCACGAGGTGGCTTGAATGCTTCTGAGTTCTGGTACTTTTCGGTACTTGGCACGTTTGGCGTTTCGATTTGTTGGCCAGCGGCTTATCCGCTGTCCCATTGGCACCGGCTATCGCGCGCCAGAGATGACCATACAAGGCTGCAAAGTACCACTACCGTACCTCTACCTGCCCGCGCATCGGCACCTCCAGACGCCGCCCGGCAGCGGATTTTCTCCCCCAGCCCAGCGGCTGCCACTGAAATCACAGGCGCCACACACCCTGGAAACCACTTAACGCGCAGCGCTACGGTCGCGTCGCCAGCCGCCACCACGTTGTTTCAACCTCGTTGTTCGTGCAGCCTCTCTGTGCCCTCAACTTGTTTTTTTTTTCCCCTTCTCCCTACCTCACTCCCTCCAGGTGCAGCCGCGTCGTGTCTCTCTCCTCTACACAACAGCCAGCGAGTTGCTCGTTCCTTTTGCATCTGCATTTGCACCGCACCGTCGATCTCGCAGCTGAAGAAAATCGTACAAGCCGCTACCGAGCGTGTTTGTTTGCCCCTCCAACGGTTTTTGCTGGGTAGTCTCGATACCGCCTCGGCGATTGGATCCTTACGCGCAATTCTCTCTACGCCGCGTGTTTCCAACGGGCTATCCCTCTCAGGCATCTGCGCAATACTCTGTTCTGTTCTTCTATCCTGTCATCCTTCGTGAACACTCTTCACCATGTCTGTCGTGTCACTTCTTGGGGTCAAGGTGGTCAACAACCCCGCCAAGTTCACCGACAAGTACGAGTTCGAGATTACATTCGAATGCCTCGAGCCGCTTGAGAAGGGTAAGTTGTCGACAAGGAGGCCCTCAGACGTGTTGGGATGCGGTACCCTAACTGACAGCGTCTAGATCTCGAATGGAAGCTGACCTATGTCGGATCTGCCACCTCGTAAGTCGGCCGATTTTCGTTGGGCATCATCCCATGTTTTTGTTTCTGACCCGCCGCAGGGACCAGTACGACCAAGAGCTTGACTCCCTTCTCGTCGGCCCCATCCCCGTGGGAGTCAACAAGTTCCTCTTCGAGGCTGATGCTCCCAACACCTCGCGCATCCCCGACGCCGACATTCTGGGCGTCACGGTCGTGCTCTTGACATGCGCCTACGACGGACGCGAGTTCGTGCGAGTTGGATACTATGTCAACAACGAGTACGATTCGGAGGAGCTCAATGCAGAGCCCCCGACGAAGCCAATCATTGAGCGAGTGAGGCGCAACGTCCTCGCTGAGAAGCCGCGTGTGACCCGTTTCGCCATCAAATGGTGAGTATATGCTGGCCCCTCCATCATGCCTCTACAGGCGGATTCTAATTAGGCCATCTTTCTAGGGATTCCGAGGCCTCTGCACCTCCCGAATTCCCCCCTGAGCAGCCCGAGGCAGACCTGGTCGCGGACGAGGAAGAATACGGCGCTGACGAGGCCGAGGAGGAGGCTGCTGAGGAAGCAGCGGCCGCCAAGAAGGGCGAGGACGCGGAAATGGCCGGCGTCGAGAGCGAGCACCAGAACGGACACGATCACGAGGAAGAGGAGATGTCCGAGGATGGTAGCGTCGACATTGAGGGCGAGAGTGAGGACGAGCTTGAGGACGAAGAAGAGGGCGAGGGTGAGGCTGAGGGCGATGACGATGCTATGGAAGTCGACGATGCCGACAAGCACGCTGCTCACCAACCCGTGACAGTCATGTCTTGATTGACGCCAAGTCTCAACCTGAGTCAGGTTTCTCCCACCGGGGTGCGCAGGCGCTGAGCATATACCTCACGTGCTGCACCTTCCGGACGGGCGATGGTATAACGAAAATACGACGGATGGGATGGCACCGGTTTCGGCGGGAGGGGCGGACTGGCGGACTGGAGGATATAGGCGGCTCGGTGTCATTGGTGATATCTTACCCTTGCTCTCTTATGGCAGGAAAAATACTAGTATATGACGGATACGAGGATACCCGCCGCGGTGTTAATGGATAATGAATTTGACTAACGAGCATTCTACGCGCGAATGTGTCGAGTCCTATCCCAGGGAAGCGATGTCTGCCTAAGCTGTCCATCCTCGAGTCCTACCACTACGGAGCACTGCCTCGGCACGATCCCACGAGCTGAGATATAGGATGGGTTGATGTGCGTCATTCGCTGCGGAGGCGGAGCTCTCCTTGAACTCCGCGCGTTCTATTGAGATGCGTTGACCTGCTTGTGATCTGGGATCCTTGAAGCGACCGGCTTTGAAACGATTTGGACTCGCGAACTGTTCGCTGGCACCCACGGCTCCGGCCGCCTCCAGCCGCACCAGCCCCCCCGTCACAGCTCAGCCTCATTTTTCTCTCTTTGCCTCACTTTTATTTCCAGAACAATGCGACGACAAAACGGCTCTTGACCACACCAAGACACCGAGCTAACGCAGCCTATGCTCCCCCGCCCTGCCGTTTCCCCTTTCGCACGGGGGCGATGACGGACAACCGGGGAGATGGCAGAGTGACAGGATAATCCCTCGGTCCAGCAAAACAAGAAGCAGAAGAGAGAGAGTGACATCGTCGGCCCTATTCCCCGATACTTAGCATATGCTCATACTTGTTCAGACAACCAAACAGGAACAACTACCTAATAGCTGGCTTCACGTGGTGCGGCGTTTTCGATGCCTATCAGATCTCATTTCGCTCATCGGTGTGTGTGCGACCTCTACGATTCCAGGTACTAGGAGCATGAGCTTCTTTTGACAATGGGGGGGCTTTGTGCTGTTTAGCCGCAAGGCTTTGAGGCTCTTGGTTGCGTTCGTCTTGGCTTCGGTAAGGGGGAGCAGCCCGAGTTTGGTGAAGCTGAGATGCGTATATGGGAGGACCTACTATATCTCTGTTGTGTATGGATGGGGTATATGTACCCCAGACGTCTCCCTTTTGCGAGACGGCGTGTGATGGGCTCTTGCTTGATGGATTCAGTCATGTTGTAGAATGCCTCCCTAGTTGACATCCAAGCTGTTCTGCATCTTCATCCCATCGACATCTCCCAAGTCGCAGCACCATGGCCGTGCAACCACGCACGAACCTCAGCCTCGAGGAGCTCGCCCGATCCGTCGAGCACCACCACGAGCAGTACCTCCGCAGCCTCCACAGCTTCCACGATGTCCTCAACCTCTATAAACGAGAGCGAGAGACAAACAACGGCAACGGCCGCACCACCGTCCAGGGCCTCGCAACGCCTCCCCTGCGCGCCTTTACCTTTGCCAGCGATGCCAGCAGCAGCGGCATCCTCCACGTCTTGCCTCGTCTCCGCCGCGACACCCTTGACACCACCCACGGCCGCCCATCATGCCATCCATCGCCTAGATTCCTCCCTCTGACGCCAGACCTCAGGGGCAGCGGTGGCGGCGGCGGCAGCTATGCCGTCCCTCACGACGATGAGATCCCCTTCATCCCTCTACTGGAGCAGTCGTCCTCCGTCCACGGCGGCCACTCTCCTCGCGATGTACTGCACGGCGACATCCCTGCCTCTACCGCCACCGTCTCAGCTTCTCACGTCCACCAGGCAATCACCCCGATGAGCTTCTCGGACGACATGCTCTTCCGCCACCTGCGCGGCTCGGACTTTGTTCCAGAGTTCGCGAGTCTGCTTGTCGACGACGATGAGGACGAGCCGCCGCCGTGGGACATTGACTCGGTGCAGGCCTTTCACGAGGTTGCCGCTGTCGAGGACGAGCGCTTCGGAAACTCGACATTTGAGGTGTATGAAGTTAGCGAGGATGGGAGGGCGGTCAAGATGAACGCGAATGCCCGGGTCGATGCTGACAGAGGACGAGGGTTTGTCAGATATGGGGGTGAAGAGGAATCGCTCGAGCCGCCTGACGGCATCGTCGACGCTCCGACGGTATGGGAGACCATCAAGGACGTCAACACCAGCGGCAAGGCCGTCGGCCGCATCACGTATGCTTCCTCCCTCGCCCCTCGTCCATTTTGTGCCACTGCTTCCCTCACTTCGATGTGAACTCGTGTGCTCATGAAGCGAATCTCTCTCCATATCTAGCATCGTTCAAGAACCGACACCTCTCATGCTCGCCGCCCTCCACCTCACCATGTCGCCTCACTTCGACATGACAGAGCTCCTCCACCATCTCCTCTCCGACACGCCCAACCACGGCCGCACCCACGCCTTCATGCACCGCGCCTACGAGCGAACCCCCTCCTCCCCGGCCTACTACCCCTCCTCCCCCATGGCGCCCACTCCCTCCAGCGGCATCGCCCCCCAGCCGCCCGTCTCCTTCGCCCACCTCCGCCAGCGGTCCTTCTTCTTCGTCTTCAAGTACTACACCCTCCTCGGCCAGGGCCTCGACCCCGCCCCCTGGCAGCTGTACGAGAAACGGCCCACGGACAAGCGCCTCGACGACCACATCGACATCGCCGAGTGCGGCTCCGTCCTGGCCCTCTCGCTCGGCGGCGAGCCGACCAAGACACTCAAGATGCGGCCGCGCCGGGAGCGCGCCAAGGAGGGCTTCCTCTTCGACACTTTCGGGCCCTGGCAGCTGCTCAGCATCCAGAGCTTCCCCGACGACGAGCACACGGTCAGGGGCGACGACTTTCAGCAGCTCAAGAGCTTCTGCAGCGGGCCGTATGCCTTTTTGGAGCTTCTCATTGCGGAGTACCGCGATGCTGGCAAGAGGAATCAGATTCTGCATGAGAGAATCACGAAGCTCATCACGCCTCCTGTACGTATTCTCCCACCATACCCCCTTTCCTTTTTTACTTCCCATTGCTGTGTAGGTATTCAACGACGTCTCTCCTCAAACTAACACATCCCCCCCTCTGCAAGACCGAATTCATGTTCAACCACCACCTCCGCGACAAGCTCCTCTTCGAAGACAAGCACTTCACCTACATCCGCCGCTACTTCTGGGCCTACAACACCCTCGCCGTCATCAACACGGGCATCAAGGCCATGATCGCCGCCTACGTCGACACCTTCACCGACGACGTCTGGGCCGGCGCGCATCCCCTCCTCTGGCCTTATCCTTCCCCTTCTTCCTCTTCTTCTTCTTCTTCTTCCCCCTCCTCCGCTTCCTCCTCCTCGCAGTCTGCAGAGGCAGCAGCAGCAGCAGCAGCCGACTACGCCACCAGAATGGCCGTCCTGCGCAGGGAGCTCGACAAGGTCGTCAGCGACCTCGGCGAGGTGCTCAAGCGCAACGAGCGCACGCGCAAGGAGATTGAGAACCTGCGCGACCAGCTCTTCAGCGGGAGCTCCATCAAGGAGAGCAGGAGGGCCATTGATCAGGGGGACAATATTCGCATCTTGACCATGATTAGCATGTTGTTCCTGCCCTTGACGTTTGTAACTGTGAGTCAAAACGACGACATCTCTCGATATGAAAGCCGGGAAAAAGAAAAAAAAATGATGGGCAATTTTCTACCAGAGAGGTCAGAGAGAAAACTAACGAGAGAGAGTTCATAGTCCGTCTTTGGCATCACCGAATTCACAATCCCCGTCACGGACTGGCGCTTCCCGCTCACGCTGGTCCTCGTCTGCGTCCCCTTCATGATCCTCCTCTACCTCATCCAGACGCGGCCCTTTATCCAAGCCATGCAGGCCCTGGACCGCACCGCCCGAGCCCTGGCCCTACTCCCGGCCCATCTCCTCCGCCTCCTCATCCATCGATGCCGCAAGCCCGATGCCTCTGCCCAAGATGGCCGGTCCGTCTCCACGCCTTCGTCGCCAAAAGGCCGCAAGAGGAGACTCATGCTCAGGCGACATGGTGGAAACGGTGCTAGAGAAGGGAGTGGTGGCGGTGGTTCGTGGAGCCGGCTTTGGAGTTGGTTGAGGAGGAGGGCTGGTAAGGAGAAGACTGAATTGGAGAGAGTGTAGTAAAGCTCGAACCGTTTTGATCCTCTCATTTTTTTTTCTTTGATCTTTTTTCCATTACATGTCAGCAACTTACCTACTTACTTACTTACTTACTAGAACGGCATTAAGTGCACGACAGAAATACCGAGAATCAAAGGCGAAGAGTTGGACGGACATTTTCGCCTTGGTAACGTTAAGTGGCATAGCATTGGGCGGACATCACATATACAGCACCTGACAAACAAACAACACATAGAAACAAAAACAAGACATGCGATAGCTGTCCCTTACAGCGCGTCATTCCATTCCCAGAGCTATACTAAGAAAAACAACGTAATAGAACTACAGTAATAATCAAGACTCAGCCAATGACATTATTACATTACCAGTGTGGTCATAAATAACGACGCCGAAAGAGTGGAAGGAAACATGAGAAGAAACGAGCAAAACGTAAACATGGTGAAAGCAACGAACAATTCATTCGCATAGAGATTGTTTAAAGCAACAAAACAAACTCCTCCCCAAACCAAGGACCAGCCCGTTCGGGGGATATAACATAATAACGGCGTCTCTCCTTCCCATCATTACCAAAGGTATATAAGTAAACGAAAATAGTAAGCATCGTTACAGCCCGTCCACCCGCTTGAAGAGTGAAACCGCGGCAAAAAAAAACAGTCAACAAAAAAACCAAGACGAAACAAAACTAGGAGCGTACACAAAGAGGCCGCAGTGACTAGTTAGCGACACCTTTTCAGCAAGGTGACAAAGCTTCCGTGATGCTCCAAAACGCCCTCCTTTACCCCCCTTCCATCCCCTTTTCGCATAGAGTCGTGGCTGTGCTGATCAAGGTATGCGCTCAATAAGGCGGCTGTGTCATGGTCGAACGACACATTGCTTCACCACCCCTTCTTGCGAGCGAATCTCTTGTTGAGCAATGCAAGAACCTTGGGAACATTGAATTGAACGTATTCCAGGTCCAGTTCGTCCTGGTTATCCTTTTGCATCTCGAGCAGGTCGTCAAGCTTGAGGTCGAGTTCGAGCAGCCCCCGATTTCGGCCTTTGCAGATGGTTAGCACGCGGTCGACAGATTGATTGGGAAAAGCAAGTAGAAGAGAGAAGGGAAGACTCACCCTTATAATGCAGGGAAATGACAAAAGTGCCTGGCAAGGGGCTGGTAAAGTTGAAGTAGATGTTGGCCCGTCTGTTATCCGGAACATTACTCTTCTGAATTACGCCCTCCTTCTCCAGCTGCTGGTGTGTAAACTTGTAGGGCCCAAGAACCTGCTGCTTCTGCTGCTTTCGCTTGGTGCCTTCACTCTGTGATCGCACATTGTGGAGGTAGCTCTTGTAGGTGTCGAGCTGGCCGACCAGATACGCGTTGTGATCCCGAATGGTTTTGAAGACTTCTTCGAGCTTCTCCGTCTCGGCAATAACGCCATCCTTCAAGGACCCCAGGTGCTGCAGCTCTTGCTCGACTTCGTCTCTCAGCAGATCAAATTGGTCGGCCTTGTCGATCACGCCGAGCTCCTGTAACTGAGACAAGAGCTCCATGGCCCGGATACCCTTGCGCACCATGACGGCGTCGTTGCGGCTCGTGGCGGCTGCGTCCGCAACACGCTCGAGCCGCAGCGGTCGCTTCGAAACGGCACTGTTCTGAGGGATGGTTCGCATGATCTGCACAAAGATGGACTTGGCTTCCATAAAGAACACTTCCTCCTGTGTAATATCCAGTGCCGCGGTCAAGTCGTCAATCGCAGTCTCCCATCTGCTAAACAGGGGAAGGTTGATGACTCGATTCTCCTTGCGAGGCACCTGGGGAGGGGCCGCCGCCAGCTCGGACACGATGATGGACAAGTGCGATGTCTCATCTTTACACAGCTCGCCACGATGCTTCTCGATCAGTGCGTGCATCGCATAGATTTCGTTGAGCGTAATTTCGAGCTCAAGGTCCTTCTTCGACAGCGCCACGTAATTGTCCATTTCCAGGCTTTCGTAGAAGTCGCCAACCTCGCACAAGTCGAGCATGAACTTGTTGATCCGGTCCTTATTCTGCTGAATAAAGGGCTGGAGCTTGGCCATGTAGGGCTCCTTGGAGTATGAAGGCTTGTTCGCCAAGTTCTGCAGCATCTTGGCGATCAGGGTGAGCGTTCGGCGAGGTTTCTCGGCGGGCGTTCCGTCAATGAGCATGTACGACTTGGGCGTCACAATGGCCGGGTTGATGAAGCGCAGGAAGAAGAATCCACCAATCAAGGTGCAAATAATCTGGTCGTTGGCATCGGGGTATTTGCGCTTGGTCAAGCTCCTGATCTGCTTGCAGATCCAGCGGATACCATAGGGAGCCTCCTCCAGGCCGTCGATGATCGTGGACAGAAATCCGTTGGCAATCTCGATGAGCATCGTCAATCGCGGCTCGATGATGGCTTGGACCTGAGGGTTTTCGGCTGCTTGCTCGGCAGTGATGCCCTTTGGCAGATTCGGCGGCAGCGTGCCGGTATCTTCCTCAATCTGCTCCACCATGCGCTCGTACACCTTGAGGGGGTTGATCTCCAAGTCCAGGTCTCGCAGTTCGATCAGGCTGTTGATTCTGTCGGCCAGGGCAATCTTCAGGAAGCTTTGGCCGGGGCCTCTTCGCGTGTAGGTCGTCATCATGCGAGAAACGGGTGTGTTGGCTCGGAGCAGCGAGGAATAGTCGGGGGTGTTGTCGAATTGATACGTGAGAACGGACTAAATGAGACAAAAGGGGGCGCTGTTAGGCGGATGAAGGCACGGCATCGCATCTGGCTTCTTGACTGCAACGTACCTGAAACATGGTGAGGAGCAGATGCTCTTCTCGGCTCTCGTACTGGTTTCCGTAAATAGTGAACATGACTGTCTGGAGAAGTGAGTCGATTTCCGACATGGAAACGAGCCGACACAGGTGGGCAATGTGCCTGGGTTCGGATTGTAAAAGAAACAAGAGGTTTCCGTATTTCTGGGTCTTATCGTCGTTGGGGAAGACGCCCTGCTCCATTTCGGAGTCATCGAGATGGCTGGCTACTTCATTTTGCTGCAAGAGCGTTAGCGAGGCGTCCATCGGATCGGACAGCACCACACCGCGTTTTTTCCACATACTTCTTCCAGCGCCATGCGATTCTGGATGAGCAGCGCAATTCGTGAATCAAGATAACGGACGTCCTTTTCGAGGACAAAGTTCTTCTTGGACTGTGAGGAGATTTTGGATTTGAGATCTCGCAGGGCTTTCTGGGCTGTAGGTTGGGAGAAGGTCAGCCGTGGTGCGCTTCAAAGGGGGTGAGGTGATGCCAGCTGGGTTTGCTGCATTATTTACCTTTAGCGAGATCGTCTTCAATTTGCATCTCTCCCTCATTTGCTGACATGGACATGTACAGCGCGGACATGGAGTACCGCTTCGACTGGCGCGCAGAGCGCGAGCCATCGTAGGTCGACATTGTGTTTTGTCGCGACAGTTGTTGAAAGGAAGAGGTTGACGCTGTGGAGGCTCTCGAGGGGGTATGGAGCATGACAGGCATTATGGGGATTTGGCGCTGTGCGACAGAAGGGAGGGTCGGGCCTTGTCGCCCCAGAACCTCGGATTTCGTCGACAACGACAGAGATAATTAGGCGGAGTTAAGCGACAATGCTCATCACCTGGCCAAATGATGTTCCAATCGAAAGTCGTCCCAGCTGGTCGGGTCTCTTTATTTCGTATAGTTCACGTCGTCGGCGCGGATCGTGAAGCGAGAGAAGGAGGGGGGGTAAAGAAGAAGAAAAACAGTGTCGCCAAACAAGGAGAAGGAAGACAAGAGAGACGAGAGAGAATAATAAAGGTGCAGTCGCTAGAGGCACGCTTGTGATACAATTTGCGTCGGCTTCGGGAGAGCTTCGCAAGCGATTTGGCGATGGTGTAACGGTTCGATCGAGGATATCCCGTGCAGGTCGGCGAAAGGCCAGGGCAGCGGGAGGGCAGAGGATGGTTGAAGCCAGAAACCGTTTCCAGCCAAGCAGCGTTGAGAGCCCTGTCTCTGTCAAGCGCAGTCCCGGAAAAAAAACAAAGAGAAGAGATTATGCCTGTGCTTGCATCCAAGGGTCGCAGAGAACGGCAACAGCACACGTGTCGAGCGCCAAAAGGGCGAGAAAGAGGGCGAGAGGGGGGATCCGTCCGGGATACGTAGATGCTGTGGTTATCGCGCCGGTGACAAGGAGCTGGTGGTGAGAAGGCGAAGAGCGTCAAGTCGGGGCAGCGTCGCTAGCCGAGCGACACACAGCCAAATTTCGGTTCGACAGACTGGCAGACGCGCGAGACGGAAGGCTGGATCAGTCGCTGGAGGCTGGGCGGTGTCGAGCGCTGGACCAATGCGAGGGCGCGGCACAAAGGACCAGATGCAGCGTCGGAGAGTGTTGAGTTGCAAAAGACACGAGGCACGGCAGCGACAGAGTTTGTGGCTGCGACGGCTGGCGATGGTTTGGAGTCGTATCGAGTTCCAGGTTGAGGACATGGACATGCAACAGCAGGAATAAAACTGGAGCAGCGCGCCTTGTTTGGGGGAGGTTTGAGAGGGGAAGCACGCCGGTTCCAGGGGTTGCAGATTGCAGACGGCGCGGCCACTCACACTCGGCAGCCGTGCTAGTACCTCAGTAGTACCTGGACTACTCGTACATGGACCGGGAAAAAATCAATCACAAAATGGAACTGGCTGGAGACTATCCAGGCACACACGGCCGGTCCGAACAGGCTAGACTGGGAAGGGCCGCCTTCAGGTTGCGGCGATGTGCAAGACTCAAGCGCGACAAGAGACACAGCCAGACGATGAAATGAGCCAGCACGAATGGACCTTGATGCAGCGGAGTACATGCAGCGCCACCCACGTTGCGCAGTGGGCTCAGGTACCGGGCTGCTCTGGTAGCGCGGCCGCATGTGGACAGGCGCCAGACTGCCGTACGACGGCCCTGCAGTGGTCTGGGGTAGCGCTGCCAGGCCCATGCTCAGGGACAGGACGGAGTACCCGCCCGTCTATCGGAAAAGGCTGCGCACTTGTCAGGGCAGCGGCCAGGGGTATTCAATGGCGCGTGCAGAGCGTGCGAGTGTGAGTGGGAAGTGGGAGCGTGTGCCCACCATCGCTAGCGGACGATGATGCGGAACATGGCAAAGTCCCTGTACTTGCGCTGTACTTGCACCAGCAGGTATCTCGAGTTGTTGGAAGTTGTGACATCCAACAGGTGTTTTTCCTTCTTCCAACTCTTCAACACTGTCCTGTACCTTACCGACCGTCACCTGCATGCAGCCATCTTCAACGTCCGCCGCATGCACGCCCTAAGCCCCCATCACAGCGCAGCATTCGACCGGCATTGGACAACCGCGCCGTTGAAGAAGCCAAGGCCTCGTGCAGCAGCATGCAGGCCGCAGCGAATGATGTGACGAGGCGGTGCCGTCAATCAAACTCACGAGAAAGGAGGGTGTACTCGTACTCGTACGAGCACGTACGAAGATACCTCTGAGCCCGTGCCTTCAAGGTACCTTACCCATGGCACTGGCCTCAGGCTCCAGGCGGTTGTCCTCGGTGGGTTTCGACCAGTCAGTCACTTCGTTTCCATCACAGAGTTATGACTCTCGCTCTCAACTCTCTCAATCTCTTGCTGACTCTGTCATCTTCCTCTGCCTCTGCCTCGTCTCGAACCCTCGTCATCCCGTCCCAGACACGAGAAAGATAGTTCCGCCTAGCCCTGCCTCCAACAGGCCGCTAGCCCCCAGCAAAGGGCACATCATTTGATTGCAAGCAGCGCGAGTAAGGTGCTGATCCAAGGTGCAATCCAGAGGGGCGGCGGGGTAACGCTGCGTGTAGCGCCGAGCCACCAACAGGTACCTGCGACTCCTCGCGACGCAGGCCATGAGATTGATACCCTCAACTGCTTGGCCATCCATGGCCACCGGATAAAAGCTCTACTTACATACAACTACTTCCTCATGCAACTAGGAGGTGCCCTGCCAACCTGGAAGCAACAGCAGCATGGCCCCCATGATATCGCCTGATGCCAGTACTTGTACATCCTCACATGTGCAGAGTACGGCAGCAATAAGCGAGCAAGCAGGCAAACAAACGATGCTCGGTTCCTCGATCGTCGGAGATCGAGAAGAACCAGGACGGCACAGTGCTTTGCTTTGCATTGAACCTGGGAGGCAACTTGCTGGGTCTTGTTCTCTGTTTCTTGCATCACAACGCCAAAGCCCACCTTGAAACCGTCGACGCCGCGTCTTGGATGCGCAACGTCTTCTGTACCTGTACCTCTTCATTACAATGGAGGCAAGACCTGCAACCGAATGCTGCTCCGAGAAGACTGGAAATGACGTCTGGCCCTCCGCTAGCACTGGTATCTGTACGGATATTTGCGCTTGGCATCGCCACCGAAGACACCAGAGACGGCGAGCGAACTCGTACCTGTACTTCTACTCGGTGCCAGGAGTCGAGACCTGGCCCGCCGTGGTTGAAGATTCAGGTACTGGACTGTACAGGTACCTCGTACTCTGTCGCAGGTACTCCGTGCAATGCCCTCAGAAGTGTATCAGCATGTCAACACACACTGACGGCGCTGAAACGCACCATTTCCTGTCTGTCACTTGTCTGGAGTCGCATGGGTGAGGCGCCAGGGGCAAGTGGAGCGTTGCGGAGCCCGATGATTTTGCCTATCTGCTGCGAAACGGCGCGCTGTGTGGAGGATCAAGACTGTTAGGTCGAGGTAGGAGGACCAAAAGAATACAGCACAAACGATGCAAATTGCTGTGTCGACGCGGCAGAGCCCCCCCTTCGGCAAGTCTCAACGTCGCGCGCTTGCGGATCACCGTGCAGAGTTGCTGAGTCCGGAATTACATGCGAAACTCTGAAGGCCCCCTTGCGAGTTTGGCACGTCGGTATGGACTTGTATGGACTCAACTTGGAGGTACTGTGAAATGCTGCGTACCTTATGCGCCTAGCAGATTTGGGTATACAGAGCCGTCCTGGAAATGATGAGCGTCAGTCCGGCCAGCTAATAGCTCGTGGCCTCAGCCCTCCCTCCGTCCCTGCGCAGGAAGCCAAGGGAAGCCAACAGAGCCCACTCGAAAACTGCCCGCTCTCATCGAGGGGTCCCATGACCGTCACTGGCCTGGGCTGGACGACTGGCCCAGAGTGAGATGAAATTGATGCTAGCCAAAAATGCTGCGCAACTAGGGCCAGATGCGGAATAGAGCCAGGAACGGGTTACGGAGTTGTCAAGGTCAATATAATTCCCGAGAGAGGCCAGGGAGCCCGTCGTGACACGGGGCCGCACGATAGCATCAAACCCAGGCCTACAAGGGGCTTACATACTGGAAATGTCTGCTTCTCGTATGCTGATGCGCGGTGACACGATAAAGCAGCTGCTCCCTAGAGCAATCGTGCCCGTTACCACCCACACGTTTTACACATCTACCTACAACTTTGAACCCCCACGCCGGTTTGCCCCCCGGCCCAACAACAGCATGGGTGTTTGGCTGCTCAGACAATCTTCAACAAGAACAACAGCGCCAAACAGCAAAACAATGCCAGTGCTACGTTTGTGCAGAATACATGTCTTTGTACAACTCAATATCACGCTGGCCATCTCTCATGCGCGCTGCCTGGCTGCTGAATGATTGATGCGGCCCTTCTCCTTGCAGTCCTTCAATCTCGCCGTGTTCCCAGAGCGGCAGGAAGCCTTCTGCCCCCCGACAACCCATCATGGAGCACGTCCCTCCGCATCGCCCGTGCTTCTACCCCTGTGATCTGCTGGCTGCCGAGTAAAAAGTTTTGCCGGGCTGCTACGTCAGAGAGAGAACTCCTATTTGCCGGCAATTCCTCCCAGTAGTACTAACGCCACCAGCTGAGGGTAGTTTGCCCTGGAGGGAGATGGTCTGGGGATGGGGAAATCCATCACGTAAGTGAGCCTATTCTCACATCTGTTATATTATATTGAGTGCGGTTAGATGCCGCCAGATCTGAGATACTATTACACATACGAAGTATATTAGTATGCAATGACCAGCGGCCGCATCATGATACCAGGGTTAAAATGATTTGTAGCAGATGTAAATGCCTACGAGGATACACATTAGACTTTTTGTGAGCTCGTATCACACATTATCACTTATTGCTCGCTACGCGAAACGTCAGGACATTGTACCATTCACCAACTATCACTAATGACAAAAGGCTCGTTGCGAATCACGATGAGAACAGAGTGACGAAGGATGAGTGTCGTTGGTGAGCTCTGTGAGCGTGAATCCAGCTCTGTTGAAACTCTGTGTTGGGTTGAGCTGGACAAACATGTGAGGCTGTGTGATGAGCCCGGGAATGCTTGCAGATGAACAACGGCTTCACGGTCATGGCACCATCCTGCCCTACGTGTTAATGAAATACCAACCCAAGCGGCCACCTGCATTTCTGATCATGCAGCTGTCCCATTCCATCTATTTACAGAGCCTCTGTGCCGTCTCAACAACGGGTTCTGTTATAGGGTGGCTCATGAAATGCTGCATCCGCCTTGTCGCACCGGGCCAAGCTTGGCGGGGCCGGTTGGCTAAGCCGAGGGGCACGGCTGACTGTACCCGCGAACTCAATGACGCCACCCCCAACAACACTCAAGCTTCTTACTCTAATTTGTACCCATCTAGCAGCAACTTGAACTTCGTGGCTTCTTTTCATCAATCGACTTCCCCCTTGTTCCGTCTGACACTCCTAATACCCGCCAAAGCTTAAATTACAGCAGCAATGGCCTTCCGTCTCCCTCTGCGCCGCATTGCCCTGGCCCGCCCCGCCACCGTTGCGCGTGGCTTCCACTCGACGCCCCGCGCCCTGGTCAAGGTCGGCGACGAGGTCCCGAGCTTGGAGCTGTTCGAGAAGTCGGCCGCCAGCAAGATCAACCTGGCCGACGAGTTCAAGAAGGGCGACGGCTACATTGTCGGCGTCCCGGGCGCCTTCTCCGGCACCTGCTCCGGCACCCACGTCCCGTCGTACATCAACCACCCTGACATCAAGACGGCCGGCCAGGTCTTTGTCGTCTCCGTCAACGACCCCTTTGTGTAAGTGCATTGCGTGTCTTTAACTTGCTCAACCGGCTTTGAGGAAGCGGGAAAAAGGAATACTGATGCGTTTGAATGATACTACAGCATGAAGGCTTGGGCAGACCAGCTGGATCCCGCCGGAGAGACAGGAGTGAGTTCATTCGCCACTGCCCAACACAGCTGGCTGAATTATCATGCTGACAATCTACAGATCCGGTTCGTTGCCGACCCCACGGCTGAGTTCACAAAGGCTCTGGAACTGGGATTCGACGACGCTGCTCCTCTGTTCGGAGGCACCCGAAGCAAGCGCTATGCTCTCAAGGTTAAGGATGGCAAGGTCACTGCCGCCTTTGTTGAGCCCGACAACACGGGCACTTCCGGTGAGTTTGCCCCCCCTTTTCATTCTTCGATTCTCCCACGTTCAGACATGAGTTTTTCTGGAAGAGATCTCTGACTCTACGTGTTCTAGTGTCAATGGCCGACAAGGTCCTCAGCTAAGGGGCAGGACCAGAGGGCGAGTTGAGGCCAGGTAGCTTACTTGCAAAAGCACGGGGCAGCAGGCCATATGAATCAATGACGGTGTGCTTATTTCATGCACGTAACACATATTAGTATGTACCTACCGTAGGCAGCATACTAGGCCACGGTAAATTGACGCTGCGCACCGACTGTCAAGTTATTGACCTCAACCCTCGAGATGCTGCCCGGTACCTCTAATATGCCTATGACTCTTGATCTTGTCCACTTTGTGTGCATCGGCTCACTCTCGTCCTACCCTGTGCTATTGGACTATTCCAGACATGACGATGTAAAAGAAGAGAAGTATGAGAAGAATGTGTCCAAATTAAATAGGAACAATCCATATCAGTACTAGTAAGAAACCATACCTCAGGTGAAATATGTATGAGTCGCTGCGATGCTGGACATATGGCGTCTGGCCACTCCTCTTTCGTATAAAACTCCTAGATGCTAAGACGTCATCGTCTCTACTGGTGTTTCGCGACCAGTATGCGCGTGTAAAGCCCTTACACCAAACGATGCAAAACGCCTGCAACCAGTCAAACTTGCATCCAGGGGATACTTCCAGGTTCTTCTTCGCCTCCAGGCATCAATCAGCAGGTCGTCGATAGGTAATCATTGTCTGCAGGCTGTTGGCCACCTGACAATGGCCCGCTGCCTGGCCAGGTGGCTGCCTGAGTCAGCATTGCCGAGGAAACGCCGGCGCCTTATCCGTGGTTCACGCCTCAACCTGCCCAACTCGACCTTCTTCACCTCGTCTCGTTGTACTGTCATGGCCTGAATCACTTGACAAAGGACTGTCTGCATCTGCCTTGAAGCCCTTCTTCTCTCATTCACCGTCCTAGTTGTACAGTATTTCCTCGCCCGCCTAAAGCCCAGCCCGCCTTGGGTCAGCAACCTGCTGCTCTCCCCTTCCAGCCCTATCAGCGCCTCATACGACGGAACCATCGTCATCGGGGCCCCTCTTGCAGCGTGCCGCCATCGCCGTTTCTTCTGCAGCCTCCGCGTCGTCGACTGGCAGGCTTCCTGCTTCTCCCGGCAACCCACCGTCACGATTCCTCCCACAACAAGAAAGCGAAAGGCTGTCGAGGCGACGATCCCATCTGATCACACCAATAACCCTCCCCAAAAGAGGATCGTCGCCTCAGCTGGTGTCCCTGCCGCACCCCCCACGCCCGTCACCTCCAGAGAAATGGACTCCGAGGAAGAGTACATGTCTCCCATGTCTAGTGGTGATGAGATCATGCCCGACGACAGCGGAGACGAAGTCTCTGGTGCTGAAGGTGAGTCCTTTCTGCCTGTCCCTTGATCGGCCCTTTCGGGTACCTGCCTGTCAGCCTTACTAATCCATGCTCTTGGTGATGTAGACTTCGACGAGGATGACTTTGACGAGCCCGATCCCGATTTCGGCCTCTCGGCGAAAGACATGGACAAGAAGAAAGTTGCTGCACACTCGGTGTCGTTCAAAGTCTACGAGCCTTCCGACATCCGGCGCCAGCAAGAGGACATGATGAGTGACGTGAATATGATTCTTGACATGAGCAAGGAGGATGCCGCTATATTGTTGCGCCACTTCCGATGGAACAAGGAGCGATTACTGGAAGACTACATGGACCGGCCGGAGAAGGTCCTCGAAGCCGCCGGGCTGAGCAGCAACTCCGCCTCGCAGCCAAAGTTACAGGCAGTTCCCGGATTTGTCTGCGACATCTGCTGTGAGGATGAGGAGGGCCTGCAGACCTTTGCCATGAAGTGCGGCCACCGTTACTGCGTCGACTGTTACCGACACTACCTCACCCAAAAGATCCAGGACGAAGGGGAGTCTGCCAGAATCCAGTGCCCCTCGGATGGGTGTGGTCGCATTCTGGATGCACGGTCCCTGGACCTCCTTGTTACGCCCGAGCTAACGGACCGCTACCACGAACTGCTCAACCGCACATACGTGGAGGACAAGGACACCTTCAAGTGGTGCCCCGCCCCGGATTGCCCTAATGCCATTGAATGCGGCGTGAAGAAGAAGGACTTGGATAAGATCGTCCCGACCGTCGAGTGCAACTGTGGCTACAGGTTCTGCTTTGGGTGCCCGAACCCCGACCATCAGCCAGCGCCCTGCGACCTGGTGAAGCGATGGCTCAAGAAGTGTGCCGACGATTCAGAGACGGCCAACTGGATCTCGGCACACACAAAGGAGTGCCCCAAGTGCAGCTCGACGATTGAGAAGAACGGTGGATGCAACCACATGACCTGCCGGAAGTGCAAGTATGAGTTCTGCTGGATGTGCATGGGTCTCTGGTCCGAGCACGGCACGAGCTGGTACAACTGCAACAGGTACGAGGAGAAGAGCGGAGCCGAAGCTAGAGATGCGCAGACCAAGTCTCGCACGTCCCTGGAGCGCTACTTGCATTACTACAATCGATACGCCAACCACGAGCAGTCCGCAAAGCTCGACAAGGACATTGCACAGAAGACGGAGAAGAAGATGGTGCAGCTTCAAACCACGTCGGGCATGTCTTGGATCGAAGTGCAGTATCTTAACTCGGCCTCGCAGGCGCTCCAGACATGCAGGCAGACTCTCAAATGGACATACGCTTTCGCTTTCTACCTCGCCAAGAACAACCTGACGGAGATCTTCGAGGACAACCAGAAGGATCTTGAAATGGCCGTCGAGAATCTCTCCGAGATGTTTGAGAAGCCCATCCAGGAGCTGGCCGACCCGAAGCTCAAGGTTGATATCATGGATAAGACGTCTTATTGTAACAAAAGACGCGTCATCTTGCTCGAGGACACTGCTGAGAACCTTGCAAAGGGTAAGACAGCAACCCCGGCCGCCTTACTTCTGCGAATCTCCACTGACCACAGCCTATAGCCAAATGGACCTTTAATGCCGACCTGATGACCGGATCAACTGTGTTGCTTAACAAACGTTGAAAGCAATGCGACGGCCCTGGCTGAGGAGATCTGACAACATGTGGTTTGCGATGGGTGTTGGTATCAATCGTCATGCCCATCTTGAGGCGCGAACGACTTTCGCTTTTGGAGTCCTCCTCGCAGCTTATAAGAGGTGGGCGAGACGAATCGACCCCACAAACCGATTTGTGTTACCCGTTTACACTTGACTCAACGCCTCTATCCACCGGCCAGGGGCAAGGACTCGCTTGCGCATGATGCGTATGCATGCTCGGCATAGTGCGATACCGTTATAGAGCGAGCTGGCTCACGTTCTCATTCCATCAGCGATAAAATGCGCCACTCGTTAGGCGACTGCATCCAGCGACAATAATGTTCGCTCCTTTTTTCCCTCGAGTATAGACTTGGTAGTGTAATGCTCTCTTAACGATTTTCAACGACTTCACCACGGCGTTTGCGGCGACGGACACGGTATATGAGGACGGATGGGTTCTGTGGTTTTACATGGCTGTTTATGCCTTTTCCTGCCCAGTTTTCTTTCTTTTCTTCTTCCCTTATCCTCTCATGGTCTGCGACCTCTCGTCCTCTGTTTTCCCCAAGTCATGTATACAGTATATACGGAGCTTGTTCTCTTTCAGCGTAATGGCTGGAGCATGCACTTGCTTAGAATACGAGGATGTTTCCACGTCGACGATAGCACCGCGATCTGTGGGAGGAGGAGAGCTATGGATGATGGAGAAACGGAATTTTGCAGGACCCCCTTTCCCCCATTGATATTTCGGGTTTTATATTGGTATTTTTGAGGCTGTTAGCGTAAAGAGCATGTATACATACTATACCAAGTCAACAGCGCAAAAGAAAAATACATCAGCCTTCAATCATACATCCACAGTGACTATTTGTCGTTCGAGATAGGCAATGATTGAGCAATGGAATGAACTCTTGACATTCAATGATGTATCCATCTAGTATCTACCTAAGACTACCTATCCATTCATGCCTTTTGCCACTATTCTGCTATTCATTTCCAGTTGCCCAATGTCGTCATCCCATGTTCCCTAGCCTTAACAAAAACAACACATTCTTCATACTTCGTAACAAAAAAACAATAACTCCCAAAGGGGGAGATCTTTGACAAAGTTGGACCAGGAGCAAATATGAAGCCCCCAACAACGCAGAGTAATACAAACACACCGGTTCCACAGGCCACTCAACTCGCAATTTCCAGATACAACATGAAATAAATGGAAAAAGGGAGATGTGGTCCCAAGCGCCGAAAACCTCGACGGTGACAACGTCATAAGTCCTGAAGCAAACGCCTGCATGTCTGACATCATTCACACATTAAACTTTGACCGCAAACAGCAGCTCCCAATGTGTTTGATGAGTTTGTAGGTATGTCGGCAAGGAGGGAGGCAGGTAGGTAGGTGTAGGTGGATAAGGAAAAAAAATGCCGATGGCATTCGAGAGAACGCAACGGCTCCTAAGAATAGGCGAAACGCGCGAGGTTGAGCTTTTTGGTAGGCAGCTGGATCTCCTCAGCGTCCTCATCCTCCTCTTCCCCGTCGCTATCGGGAATAATTTGGTCCTCGCTTCCGCATGCTTTATTCAGGGCGTCCATTTCGTCCAAGTCTACCTTGGGAAGAGGGACAAGCGCAGGGTCGACCGGCTCTGTGACCGCCTGCTTCTTATCTGCAGATTTCCGCAAAGCGTTCACCTGTGGGGTTGTCGGGCCCTTCAAAGCCCACGCTCTCATCCGTTGCAGGGGCGTCTGCCTTGATCGAGCTGTCGACGGCGCGGTGGACGCTGTGGATTTTGCACTGAAGACCGACGAATGTTGCGACACACTCGATGTTGGAGTATCTGAAGAGGTAGAGAAATAGGCAAAGCGTGTTAAATTTGATCGGGGAGGAGTGCAGGTGGCTTGGGGTGTCGAGTCTGGCAACTTTGGAAGAGGCGTAGAAGCATCGACCGGAGATTCGGGAATGACATCGAGGGTTTCCTGCTGGCTGGCGTCTAGAGAAGTGAGTCCTGTTTCCTGGCTTGTATTTGAGGGTTGACTCGTCTCCTGTTGACTGCGCTCCAGCTGACTAGTGTCCGTCCGGGTAGAATCTTGTTGACTGCCAGTGCCTCCGGGATGGCTGGGAGGGAGCTCCTTTTTCTTATCGGAAAATATTGACACTCTCTTGGACGGTGGCCCAGATGCCCAGCCTTCAATGTCAGGCAAGTTACTGAGCGCTTCATCCAGAGAGTCGTCCGATAACAGCAGATACGCATCGCTCTTGGCCTTCCGTGGGCTCCTCCTAGCCGCTTTCTGGGCAGGGAAGAAGCGACTCTTCTTGGGAGAACCATCTACGTCAACATCAAGCGAGTCGTCACACAGGCGAGCTTTCTTTGAAGGCCTGACCGAGGCCTCTGCCTGGGGTGCGGGGCTGCCTGAGACACTTGCCAAGAGGTTCGTGATTGGCTCAGTTCGACGTCGATACAAACGAGGTGAGGTACGTGGAACGGCCTGTGTTGGCGCATGGCTATCCGCGCCATCGTTTACGGGCTGCCCCGACTGTTGCGATCCGGGTATGTATGGCCTCGGTAATGGAAACACTCGTGGAATGGCACCCCCTTCGGTAATTTGCGAAATTCGCTGAGGGTCAACAGAGAAGCAGTTGGCATCCATCTCGCCCATAGGTATCCGATAATGACCATTGAAATATGAATTGATGGGCTTGGATTGCGGGCGAGTAGGAGCGTCTGTGGCTGCAGCACTCTGAGAATGCCTCCGCTTGGAAGGCGAAATCGGCATAATGATCGGCAGCTTCGTGATGGGGTTGACGTCGCCACTTGCGATCTTGCGAGCCATCTCCGGCTCGACGTAGGCTCCGATAAAGGGCATTTCCTCAGCCGTGCGCGTCCCGTCCAGCTCCGTGAGATGGACCAACTCTTTCTTGGTAGGGCAGAATACCCACTGGTGTAGAAAAGTGAGTTCCGCCTGGTAGAACAGAGTTAGATAGTTCTCTGATATCCGCTTGCCGTCCAACTGCAGCAAGCGGACAATGCGTTCGGGAGATTTGGTCTTTCGCAGCATCCGGTATGCTGTTTTGAGCCCTACACCTGGGAGTCCATTGAGATAATCGCAGCCGCTCATGATGGCCATTCGTCGAAACTCGGTATCGCTCCAACCAGTCAAGGAAATCTCGCGGCAGGCACAGAAATCTCGTCGATTGATCTCAATGCAGTTTCCATACTGGTCCAGCTTGGTCAGCAGTCGCTTTGCCCCGAAGACCAACAAATCCGAATCGTCTGAGATGATTCCACTGACGAAACCGTGACGCTCAAGGTAGACAAGTTGAGCATCTGCCTCGTAGGGGGCCACGACGTAGGGGATATCCATCTTTTTCAGCTGCTGAATCAGGGCGGACGCCATTTCAGGAGTAATGTCGATGCATTTCTGGAACTCTTGCGCTGCCTGGGAGGGCTTCCCGGCTTTCAGGTACTCGTTGGCAAGCTTGAGCTTCTCCTCTCGCTTCTTGGCTCGAGAAGCTTCTGTAGCGGCCTTGCTAGGGAGGAAATCGCCGTCAAATACCATGTAGGGCGTGACACCAAAATGCTTCAGCATCTTGACTCGGTGCATAGCCCCATTGATGAACCTGGAAAGATGCCGTCAGTGAACCGCCCCCAATCACCCGCAGTCTAGTGTCCTGGTCTTACTTTTTGGTAGGTTTGCCCTGACCCAGCTCGACAGCACAGGAATAGGCAGCGCGGTGCAGCCATCCGTAGCCGTCAACGGCCAGGGTCTCGCCCTCGTATTTCTTCAGCTCCGTTGGCCTCTGAATAGACTTGAGGATTGGTAGAAGCCCTGTTGGCAGAGTCAACACAAGAACCCACCGATATCAAGCGGATATGATCACGGGCCATCTGCAACCGAATGATGCTTCTATCCTTACCTGCTACACCCATTATGAGCACCCGCCCTCAAGGCTCACCAAGTCCAAAGATGCAGTTAGCAAGTCTCCAATGGCTTCTGCCACGAAAGGCCCCAATCAACTCCCCCGATCGCTTCACGATCCAGCAGCAAAGGTGCCCATATATCGACCGCTGAGCCCCGTGACGCGGCTGCTGAGCACGAGGCCGCAACAGACGCCAGGCACGTCGAGAGAGGCGTTGATACGGCTGTAGGAAGACGGGCTCACGCGTCGGCGAGGCGGCCTGGGCGGACAGAGGAGCGGCAGAGGAGGCACGTCTTGTTGGTGTAGCAGCTGAGGCGGGTTGTAGCGGACGAGGTTCACGCCTGTGCAGGTTCAAGTTCCATGCATCTCGGCTAACCTAACGGGCTTATGGCTCTGTAGCCGCTGAGACAAGACGCGCCGGGGGGTTTAATGGGCCTGGAGCGCGTGTCATAGCGCTGTTGGCGTGGGTTAAAATGCCTGAGCCGGCAAGATTGGCCTGGCAACCAGGCGGCTAGCGGTCTGTTTACTTTTCGGAATGTACTGAATGACTCCGGTGCGAGGGCACTGTTATCATGGGAATGGAAAGGATAAAATAACGTATTGACGAAATAATTCATCGAGACTATCAATTGGGCAATGGGTTGAATTTGCGTGGGATATCAGGATGCGAGTCATGAAAACAAGGCATTGTTGTCCGTCTTAACGGTACATGTACAGTACACAAGAGGTGGCACTTTAGATCGCGGGGCGGGAGCAAGGCGATGGAAATTGGACAAAAGTACAAGTTCATCATGTCTTAGCCATGTTCATGTGCCGCCAATATCGAAAGACATCTCTCTAGTATGGATCACCGACTGCCGGGGAGAGTAAAGGGTTGATTCTTTCATTCAAATACACAACCGTTGAGTTTCCAGCAAAGAATTGTAGGCTTACACGCACAAAGGCCGTTTGATGTCGCCGGCAGTTATGGCTTTATCCGAGCTATAGCCGTCGCGGCTCTCAACCTCAGCCCTTGCCTAATCGAGGACTACACCCCTGCCCGTCTCAAAGGAAAACCTTGACTTTGGCCATCACGAACCAGCGACAAGACGAAGGAAAGCTTGCAATTGAGAAGCAACACAACAGACCAGACATCAGATCAAAGCGACGAGAAGAGGAAACTATCACCGAAAATGCCCAGCACACTTCAGAAAACCCGCAAGCAAATTTCCAAGAAGCGCAATGGACAGGTCAACGCACTGCATGAAAAGTCCAGAGACACTCTGAGACTGCACAAGGCCGGTGTAAGAGACCAGAGGCTGGAGAAGCTTGCTGCGGCGAGGAGCAAGAGGGAACAGCCCATCGGTATGCAACCCGGGAATGAGACGAATCTGTTGCTGGGACACATCTAACCCATTGCATAGTGGAGCGAGTCACATTTTTCCAGCAGAAAGTGAGAGAGCAAGGCTCGGAACCGCTTGAAGTGCCCGCCATCCAGGCGCTTATCCATGAGTGAGTATTGCTCACATCATCTTGAACGGTCCTATGAGCTGATGCTGAACTTGTGAAAAGATATGTCCATCAGTACGATGAGGAGTACGATGCTGTGAAGAAGACTCGCCGGGCTGGACGGCCCCCTAGCACCAAGGAAGATCTCCTGAAGATCAAGATTGCCGCTCTCGAGAAAGAGTATGAGGCAGGATTTCGTGAGTTAATTCTGGTCAGGGCTCTCGTTCTGGGGGATCGTCCGACTGACCGCTTCACAGTGATTCCCGATATCACAACGGCCCAGAGCGTCAAGCTCTTGGACGCTTGGGAAGGCGCCTGGGCCTATCTTGCCACCCTCCCTTGGGTTAAAGTTACAGCTGCAGGCAATGTTCGCAAATCTGAGCTACCTTCCAAAGCTCTGGTTTGAGAGATTCCTGCTCTCTTAAGCTCTTCACACAAAGTTCTCGGTGATGTACATGCATATCGTGTGTCTATGCCGCCCTAGTGAGGGTGAATGACTACCAGACAGGAGACCTGGACCAAAGACACATGGTCTCTACATGTGGTACAAGAAACAATACGTGGATGTCGCCTCTCGGAAATGCCACCCAAGGAATCAAGGTTCATCCTTACTATCACGCATATCTTGCCCCCTTGGAGTCATTCGGGCGACTAGTTCACGGTCAGACAAGAGACTGCAGATGCGCTATGCAGGCACCACTGCATTGTGATTCAAGATACCTGATGACAATCAAACGAATGTCCCTATCAGCGATGCAGGCTTGGGCGACACCGCAGTCAGCACAATAGCTGTGCCGCACGCCTCTACCCCACGCTCACATGAAATGAGATTGAGCCTGAATTAGCATATAGCTGGTAGGCAGACACATAGAGCCAGACCTTCAATTGATCCAACTACTTGATTATTTCCCATCAAATGACCTGAATATGGCCAAACCTTCAATATTAATCCTGCCTCACTGCTTCGTATCCAAAAGATGCTTGAAGCCATCTGATAGAGCTAAAGTGCTTGCATTCCAGTACGTCAGTCACGTGGGGCAACCGGCGCAAAGCTGGTGGGTAGAGCTCCATCCAATGGTCCCCAGCTTGGAAAAAAATCGAAGAAAAAAAAAAGTTGAGTGGCGCTACCTCATAGCTTTCAACTACATACATACATCATCCCACTCAAGCAAACCCCATCTCTTCACATCCATATCCTCATTCCTCATTCCTCATTCCTCAATCTTTCTTCGTTACATTCCACCAACAGAGCAGCATCAATCACAATGTTCTCCGTCAGAGCCCTCACCCGCGCCGCCCCGCGGACCATCAGCCGTGCGGCCGCCGGCGCTTCCCTGCGCTCCTCCGCCATCGCCCGCCCCAGCCTTACCAGAACCCCCGCCGCCGTCAAGGCCCTGCTGCCGACCCGCGCCGCCGCCTTCTCAACGACCGTGCGCCGGAGCAGCAAGGAGGAGGACGTCGAGGTCGACGAGGCCCTCTCCGCCAAGCTGGAGAGCGAGATCCAGATCGAGGAGGACATCAAGGCCAACGAGCAGCAGCCCGCGAGCATCAAGGACTTCCTCGACAACAGCCCCTTTGAGCTGGTCGACACCCCCGGCCAGGAAGTCGTCAAGCTGATCCGCAACTACGGAGAGGAGAAGTGAGTTTGTGAAACATACACAGCAGCACCCCCAAATTGTTGGACAAAGTCTGACTGACTAATTCCCTTGCAGAATCACCATCAGCTTCTCCATCGCCGACATCACCAACTTCGACCCCTACGCCGAGGACAACCTCTTCGACGAGGACGACCTCCCCGAGGAGTCCCTCCAGTCCGACAAGCAGCAGAACCCCGAGCACGACCTCGAGGGCGACGAGGACGTCGACGAGGACGTCGACGAGGATGCCGGCGCCCCCATCAACCTCTCCATCCTCATCGAGAAGCCCGGCAAGACGGCCGGCGCCCTCAACATCGACGCCACCGCCCGCGACGGCGACATCGTCGTCGACAACATGTTCTTCTACGAGGACGCCACCGTCGCCCGCATCGACTCCCCCGAGGCCGCCCAGAAGCGCGCCGACGTCTACCCCGGCCCGCCCTTTGGCAGCCTCGACGAGGACCTGCAGGTCCTCATGGAGCGCTTCCTCGAGGAGCGCGGCATCAACGAGACGCTGGCCGCGTTCGTGCCCGACTACGTCGATGTCAAGGAGCAGCAGGAGTACCTCCGCTGGCTCAAGAACGTCCGCACTTTTGTTGATGCCTAAAGGGACGATGAAAGAAGCAAAAAAATTATGACAAGAGGGGAGAAAAATGTATAGTTTAACGTCGGTTGTTTGGGTTACGGTCTTTTGTCAAAAACGATGAACTTGGAGGAAACGAATGCCTTGTGACGATAGAAAAAACTTTGTTAGGGAAATTTCCTCACTCATGTATTATATATATATTGGGCCAATGCTGCCCGACTAGGTACGAAATGATATCACAGAGAACATCATAAACGCTGGTGTTATTTTCATGATCTGTGGTTCGTAGTATCATATGTCAATCTGCCTATCTCTTAGCTACAGTATTGCACCTATACTAAACGCAACGTAACACCAGCATCCGAAGGCCAATAAACCCCGGGGGAAAAGGCCAATCGAACAAGTTGAAAGCAAATTGTCCCAAAAATAACTTGAAAAGAAAGGAATAATCTTAGTGTGTTGTGAACACAATCTATGCGTATAGGCCAATGCAACCCGCGTGGTATATGTATATATGATGATCATCCCAAATTTCCTCATTCCATCCAAAATGTGCAGTAGCCTTTCCAAATTCTCGCCTTCTCTTATCTGCCCTTCTTCCTTGTTGTGTCACTTACACTTCTATAGGATGCCCTCGAGGTTCCAGTCGCCCTTTTGGGCGCGCTCTAGAACCTGCTTCCCCTTATCGTTAAGGTCGGGCTTGCCGCCGTTGCCGACGCTGTGCTCGAAGAAGACGGGCTTCCACGTCTCGTTGTTTTGCTCCCGCTTCCGAGCCTTCTCGCGCTGGGCCTCCTCCAGGGCAACCTTGAGTTCAGTTGCCTTGGAGAATTGCTTAGAAAGGATCGCGTCGGTGACGCCACCCCACAGGCGAAGTGACTCGTTGGGAAGCATAGACTCCTTCGGAGGCAAGACCTTGGGAGCAACGTTCAAAGGGAGAATGTCAATGATAACATGCTGTTCTTCGGGAGGGACGTTTTTCTGATGGCAAACAAAGTCAGCTACTCGCGTATGCATTGGCAAGGATAAGAAGACATACCATGGGTCTGGGGCCCAATGAAAAGACAACCCTCTCCTTCCAGGGGCCACTCAGCCTAGCCAGGACATCCTCATCCGGGACATCCTGAACTCGGGTCTTGTCGTCGTTCTCGGGGTCGTATTTAAAGATGACACCATCAATTTTGTTGGTTGTCCGGCCCAACCACCCTTCTTCGACGTAGTGAAGGATGGCCTTGATCTTGGTATCAGGGCAAGTAATGTAGGCCATCTCGCTCACCGATACGCTCAAAGTTCCGCGGAAGAGGCCGCCGAGATGGGCAGCGGGATGCGTCAGCTGGTAGGTCTCGTTATCCCTCTTCTCCAGGGTGATGAAGATGCCCGAGTTGTGCTCGCCAGGGAGGACCTTGACAGAAGTGCCAGTGAACTTGGCAGTGATCTGATCAAAGCCTCTGGCGGTGATGCCCTTTTCGGGACAGGTGACATAGAAGGCGCTGACTGGGGGGTGATGTGATGTCTGTTCAGTAAGGTATGAGATTCGGAGGAGCTGGCCCGCCTCGTTCGAAGCCGTGCCATGTTGAGGAACGGACAAGGACACCGAGGAAGAGCTGTTCTCGCTCTTGGCGGCCGCTCCCTTGATGGAGCTCGAGCTGGATCCAGGGGTTTGAAGCTCGAGAGTATTTATCCTGGGAGCATTATCTTCCGTCTCCCAGTTGCACTGCAACAAGCACAAGCGTTAGCGATATGGACCGCCTCACAGGGCCGATCGTAGATCCGGCACAGTGTCTAGGATTGGAGAATGGGACTGGGCTCACTCTAAAGAACTCGCCGAGACATGAGTTGTACGGCTTGCAGGGCTTTCCCTTTGCGTATTTGAGATCTTTTGTGAGCCAGAAGCGAATCACTTCAAGCATCCGATCGAGCGGCTCATCGGATGTGCCGATGGCGACGAAGGCGTTGGGCGCATCGAGGTAGGTCCAGTACTCTAGATTCGGCGTCGGCTCGAGGAGCTGCGAGGGGAGGGAGAATCGAACAGAGGCGAGGTCGGTAACTCCGATGAATCTGAAAAGCCGGCGTCAGCATGCTGTCGCTCTCGAGTTGGCTGCACCCATCCAGCCAGACTCAATTTGCACGGCTCGTTGGAGAACTTCGTCGAAAGCGATGCTTCTCTGTCGAGGCTCAGATGCCCCACCAGGCCTTTACCGCCGATTTCGCCTCTAGCATCGCAGTGCGACGAAGCCGCCTTCGAGCGTGCAGATTGCATCAAGACAAAGGTGTCTGAAGGGTCTCACATACTTCCTCAAGATGCCCAGAAAGGTCCGCAGCTTGGATCCCTCGTTATGGCCCTCTTCGGGCGTCGCAACGGCAGGCGGTGATGGCGGTGATGACGACATGGTAGTGATAAGACAGCCAAGGCGAGGGCTTCTGGAAGAACCGCTGCAGAAGAGGGGCCTGGGCTAATCGATATGCGCCGCCTCTGCCTGGTGAGCGAGAAGACGCAGAAGTTGCAGACGGTGATAAGAAGACGGTTGACTCCAGAAGGGCGCGATGCAAAAAGAGTTGATGCCTCCGCCGGCCTGGAGCAGAGCAGGTGAGAAGAGAGTGGAAATCGGCTTCGCAAGCCACGCAGGCCCCGGCCAGCATAAGGAAAAAGTCTGGAGCCGTCCGTGGCATGGCGTCTCAGAGGAGGGACAAGGGGGGCTTTAGAGGGGACCTTGGAGGGGACGTGGAGGGACCACAGGGGATTACAGGGGGCCTGCTTAGCTGGCTCAGCGCCGGTGACAGGGATCTCCCAGCAGCGGCAACCACTAAACAGCCCGCAACCGCCTCAGCGCCAAGCCGCGATGCGCTCCAGTGCCGGATGGAATCCCGCGATTGGATGCGGTGCACATCGAGGCAACAACGTCGATAGGTACGGTTTCGAGAGAGATGGACGCTTCAAAGTATCGGCTCTGCACTGGAAAAGTAGAGGGCCAGAAGCTGCCGGAGATGATACCATAGGTCAGCATATTTTGTGCCCCTTATTCTCCTTATTACCATGGTTTTTATCCTTTTCTCTGTTTTTCTCTCTCTTCCCCAAATCCGCGACTCCCCGGCATCTGGCTCGGAGGCCAAAGACGGCCGGCTAAGGTAGCAACACTGATAGGCCCTGCATCGGAAGTTGGCGACGGGCCAATCAATCAGCCCACATGGTCAAGGCTCTGGCTGGCGATAACACTGCAGACAACGCCGACGGAGAGATCAAGCCGGAACGCCGGACCTCGTGGGTGTCCCGAGTAGGCCACATGCATGCCACCACTCGCTTCTGCAAATGATCGAGACAATTCCCCTTTGGACTGATAAGCGTGCATGCGGCGCGCAATGGGGGCGAAGAGGACCTTATACATCTGCGTCCGCTTACCTTATAAAGGGGCCTCATCTTTTCTTTTTTTCTTTTTTTTCTTTCTTTTTCTTTTTGCTCGGGCTTTCCAACACGAACGTTGGGATGCTTATTCATATGTGAAGCATACAGAACGCCGAACCCTGTTGAGCGACACGTGAGTATGCACCTGCATCAGTTGATGTGCTGCGGTGCGAGTCTGCAGTAGGATTTTATATGAGGGTGTTTAAGGAAATACACTACTAGACTATAGTGGTAACCTGGTACCTGGGAATTTCGTCTGTAAATGGACTTGACGCATCGTGGTGTTCAGTCCCTCGGAGAAGGGTTGCTGATCATCCAAGCTGTGATACCACTTCATCTGATCAGCTAAAATAAGTGGAGAGCCCACCCGGACCGGCCCAGTCTTGGCGCGTGAGGTCATACCTCAGTTATAACCGCCAGCCAGACTATTCACTCACGCACCGTCGTTCCATCTGATCTACCCTGAACTTACTGGGCATTACTATTGGGTATCAATATAGGGAAAGAGAATAAAGAGGCTATCGTCACAGTTAATCATTCAGCCACATGTGTATCTCGGGTGAATAGTTCGAACCTTGGCAGTCTAAAGGGTAACACCATGTCCCTATAAGTTAGGATGGCAACTCTCTTCTCTCTTCATAGAAATGATTCGCGAATGCTCATCAGCGAATTGCATAAAGAACTGCGAAACTTTCTCTTTCGATGTTTTGCAGTGGAGTATCTTACGTTCAACAAGTGCTCATCAAGGCCGATCGTGTTCAGATGCTCAACCTCGGTTGCAATGGATAGGTTTCGTAGGTCGTGTACTTCTGTTGGTGGCTTCAGCTGATGAGAACACCACGCACGTCACTCACGCGAGGCGCTGCGAGGAAGAGGGAATGTGTAGAACAAGCACGGACTCATCGAGAACACAAAGAGGCGAAGCCACCACGTGCGGTGGACGTTGGGCGTTTCATTCATCAATGCCACCGACCGAATGAGCCGAGTGCGTTGAGGGCGAACCAAGTCTGTCAATGAACCAAACCTCTCAACAGCAGCGACGAGCAGAAACACCTTGCTGTGGTCAATTAGAAAATAGTGACATATATCATTAAAAGTAGGAGAGATAGAAAGAAGAGCAAAAGTACCTCAGGCCTAGGCTTCAGTCAAGGAAGAGAGGGAAAAGTATTGTCGTGTCTGAGACAGTTCCTCCAGGGGACGTCGTTACCGCTCTTCTACCTGAGGTATGAATGAGCTCACAGGACACTGCCAAGGATGATCGAGGATGACTGCCGTGTAGCTGGCTTCTGCAGGGCAATCGGCCCTGTGATTGCCGTGTGCATGTGTCTGAGGAGATCGATGGGCATTATGTCATACCTACCATATGGCGTATGGGGTACCGAAATTCTGAAGTCAAGATTGGTAAGAAGGTAAATCTCTATCTGTTTATGCTGGAGACTATCGACGAGGATTGTGTCATACCTACCGAGTATGGGGTATAGGGGTATAGCTAAGTCGACGTTGGTAAGGAGGCGTGCTCCCATCTGTATGTATGCTAGCATTACGTGCATCGAGAAGGCAAGGCACGGCTCGCGACTAAAGAACAGCCGCAGGTAAGGTATGGAGTGTCTCGCGGAAAATGTTTCGTAGTCGTCGATCCCTAGGCTCAGGCCGCAACAATGGCTTAAGCCCTCCCATCTGGTAGCGTCGATGGCCAAACAAAGAGTGCTGAAGCGCGCATCTTCGGGAGGTTGGATCTCCGGCTAAGGGTCGTCAATTGACCCGGGCCAATCACACGCGGTTCGCCATCCCCTAGGGAAAGGCACAGCCCAAAGCTTGCTTCACCGAGCGCTGCTGCGTGACATAGGAGACGACCCATTCCTCGGGAGGTGGCTTCTGGAAAAGAGCTTCCGTCGAGGCTGTCGCCAGAGGGCTGCATCCAGCCGGTACAGCTTTGGCCGTCCGTTCTGACGCAAGTGGACAGTCATGCGGAGCGCTCCCATTGGGTCTAGCGCGCGGATGGCTGGCGGGGGGAGGTTTGCCAAATCCTGCAATTCTCGGAGCGCAGATCCCTGCGCCAGCTGTTAAGCCGCGCTTGTACTGCCAAGTACCGCCGCGGTGTGGCCAGCTGCGACGGGGGCGGAGCAGAAGCTCCGTTGTGCCTATAACCCTGCCCTGCGCGCAGTGGCTGGCTGTTATCTCTGCTTGATCATCGGTTGATAGGTGCGATATCACGATCGGAAGGCATTTGACGGCTGGAAAAATTCACAAGAACCTGCTGCGGTGGGAACTAAAGGGGGAGAAGCGCGCAGAAGCAGGGAGAAGCGACACCTCCGCCTGGGTCTCACTGCTTGCACGAAAATCAACCAAGGCAGCATGGACGAAAACAGCAGCGCCAACGTCAAGGGCGGCTACACAAGGCACAGCGAGACGGGAGGCGAGTACTTGCCACGACATGTTGGAATCGATATATCTATCTATCAACCGACACCTCGAGCAGCACAGGAAATGCTAAAGCCACTGACTGCGTTCGCTCCTACGTGAACGCAGTCCAGCATCGGCAACCGCTCGATTCACGGCCGGCGCCACAGCGGGCTACCTGGGTGGTACTTGGCCGCGCCCCCTAGCACTAGCAGGCTGGCTGTCTCTCCGCATCGAGATCGCGATCTCCCGTCCAGAATCCGATGGATTCAAAAGTTACAGATCGAGGTGGAAGCACTAGCCCGGCCATGCGGTTTTTCGCTTTAGGATGGGCCTGGGAATCTTCTGGCTCGCGGCCCGGGAGGGAACAATAAATAGTATAAGCTCGCAGCTATGCCTCGTCCCCCCCAGCGCATCTGCTTCATCTTCCTCTCCTGGATAATCATCTCTGCATACGTCACCTTGTCGATACCGGGCTCGAGCTTGTTCATAATCTAGTCCCCTTTCGAGGAACAATCACAGCGGCTGCTTGGCTTCACTTTCCGTTTTCGTCTGTTTGCGGCAGTCCTCCCTCGCCAATAGCACACAAGCGCATCACGCAGGAGCCCACCAGCTCTTCTCGCTCGTACGACCAGCAGCTGATATTTTCATCTCTGGCGCGAAGCGTTCCTACTACTACCTTATCTTACTATATTATTCGCTCTACTAGTTGTTCAATTCATTAATCATTGCCGTCTCTTTGCAGTCTTTGAGCTGCGCATCACACTACTTGGTCGACGCTCTCAACGACAGTGCCCTTACCTATAGGACGAAAATGACTAAGAAGACAGAGTCCGGGATCAAGCTGGAGCGGCCGCAGAAGGACAATCGCCAGGTACATTTTCATTTTCTATTGCCTGTCAGAAAGCCACAAGCGGCGTGCTAACCTTTCCAAGTCGGGGCGATCGCATGACGAGAACAGAGAGCGAGCATTCATAGCTGCCTCGCGCCGGAGAGATCGGGACTTGGATGCGCGACTCAAATCTGCCTTGGATGCCAGTGAGATACACAAGAAGCGGACAGGAAAGGCACTCCGGATCACCCGCGAGATTGTCGAGAACGAGGAGATGTACGAAGAGGAGGAGCCCGAGCTGCATCGCCGCAAGGTCCTGGGCGTCCCTTCTTCGACGGGCGGTCCGCAGCCCGACCCCGGCAAACGGGTGTGCGAGCTGATAGCATCGTCCGACCAGGAATGGCGGCAGAGTGCCATCAACATGCTCTTTGCACGATCCTTTCCCAAGTACGAGCAGCAGGCCCAGACCATGAATACCCAGACCATGAGCACACAGTGGTACCAGCCACAGCCTGCGCTGCAGCATTCGCCGGTGCAGACATCCGAAATGGTTTCCTCTCCTGACGTGCAAAGGCACTTTTCTCTGCCCATGATATCTACGTCTCATATGGTGGAACGGACTCCTAGCCTACCGGTGCAGTCTCCCTGGATGGACCGAGCTTCTCACATTGTACCGACTTCACCTCCGCAGGCACCTTCTCCTCTGGCCATGGGCCAGACTCCTGAGGGAAGCCCTGAGGGCCGGACTCCCGAGACGACGCAGATGACCGGGATGTTCCATACCTCTCCGCCACCACAGTATGCGGACCTGTATCCTCAGTCCGTGGATTCAGGCTTCAATACCCCGTCGGCCGAGATTCTGGGCGATTTTGACTTTTCACCAACCACTGAGACGGACAAGTACTCATCCGAGTCACCAATTACTCCGGACGACCTCATCTACCTCAACCCGGCGCAGTTGCACACTCTGTCCCAGGTGAACACATGTGCTTGCAACCCGGCTTGGAATCAGACCTGCAAGGCCTGTAAGGGTGACTGGGATCCTTTGCCATGGGATTAACCAGCGACACAAAAAAGCATCAATAGTCTCAATTGCATAGCAGCTTGTACGACAAGCGGCATCTCATTCGGAGTCTTGCGTTCAAACTGGATCCGGCTTCTGTTTTCAGTCCACTGGTACATATTCTCGCCACTCAGGGAAAAGAAGAGTATATAAGGCATTTGCGGCGTAAAATAAGCCTTCATTTCAAAACTCAATGGTCATGTTAAGGGAAAACGTCCCGCTGCTTTCTCTCTTTTTACTTCTACCCTTTTCTCTTCCTTCCTTGAACCCTTTTTATTCTCCTTTCCCATTTCAATCCTCTCACTTGTTAGACTCTTCTTATGCTGGCTCTCTTTATCTTAGCTTATCCATGATTTTGGCGGATCTTTTTGTTGGGCGTTTGGGGGGTTCAATGCTTGGGTCGAAAGGCACGACGACAAAAAAACAGGCAAATAGAAGAGGGCGTCAAGTTGGTTCATTGCTTCGGTAGTATTATAGGTTACGGTTCTCCTTCGGATACCCGGTGCAAGTCGAATAAACTGCACGCACCTCGCAAGCACTGCATCGTCTCATACCGACCCTCGTGATCTACTTGAGCTGTATGTAATCTATTCTGTTCCTTCTCCATATTCAGTGAAACATGTTGTCACACCGTAACATGAGCTCGGGATAATGAACAAGACCCCAAACAAATCTCCCAACATGAGCTCCGAGATTGTCGTCGTTCAGTCTCCAGCTTCAGCCGCAAATGACGTCTGTACCGCCATAGCTTCCCACTAACGACCGGCATGAGATCCCCTAACCCAGCTCTTAATTGGCCCCTCACAAGCTCTCCAGTAGTACAGGTAAGCAACGTTGAACCCCTCATGATGCGTCCCAAATTATCTAATCCCTGCCTGCATTTCGATCTTTCCAGTCCCTTCGCATGACGCTCATCCTGCTGCAGCGGCACGTCAACTATCGATTCCATCCAGGGTCCTCTTGTTACGGATTTCTGCAACAGCTTCCCCTCAACATTCTTTCCACTTTTCTGCTCCCTTTCCTACCTTTTGTTCTTCCTTCCCAAAACTCAATTCTCAAGCTTCTCAGGTGTCGCGTCATTCGCCAAACCGAGAGTTGTCATCTGACTTGACTTTGTCCGGACCTTTTACGCTTCCTCATTCGTCCCCCTTTCCTGGCAAGCTCCGTGTAATTGAACACCGAGCCCTCGTTCGATCGCGTGTTGCGTTGCAGAGAGAAAGACCACCTGACTACTAACTTTTTGACCTTGTCTTTGCCATTGCTCCCTAGGTTGGTGTCAAGAGACACAAGCGATTCAATTCGCAGCTGCCTTGAGAGCTCTGTCCAGGCAGCACCAGCCGAATTCACTTCGAAAGAGAAACTCGGCATAAATATCCTAGTCTCGTCTTCTTGTTTCATTTCCCCTCCTCTTTCCTCCCATCTCTCTGCTACCAAACATTTTCTGGCTGCCATTGATCGTCCGCTTCAATTGCATGCCAATTGGGGACCCATCGGATCAACGCTACGATTGCTTCAGCCATGGATCCAAAGGAAAAGTTCTATCGTCACTTTCGTGACAGCGTCGAAGGTGGGCTGCCCTTGCCCTTGCCCTTGCCTCTGCTCTCTTCTCACATAACATGCGTTCGCCACCATCACAACAAATGCTGACGGGTTTTCTGTTCTGCTTCCGCAGGTCTCCAAGACCAGATTGCTCAATTAACAAATCTATCCTCCATCGGCGGCGAGCGTCAAGATGCCACAGACAACATCCTCGCCGGCATCAGCAAGCTCCAGAATGAAGTTGCCGATGCCGCCGAGTTCACGCCTGCATACGACCGACGCCAGTATTCAGATGTCTGTCATCCTTGAAAGCTCTTGTTATGAGAGAAGCGAGACTGATCTGACCGCGATTCGTGCTACAGGCAATCAAAGGCCTACAAGATAAGCTTAACGAGACACTTGCCAAGTTTGCACCCAAGACGAGATTCCAGTTTAGGCGCACTGGAACAGACCATGTCGACATGGGCGCACCAGAGAACGATCCGCGGTTGAACCCGGGCAGCTTATCTCGACGTCCGCATAGTCCAACGAGTGCCCCCGGGGCAGCGAGCAGCATGATGGAGGAGAACCGGGGTATTGTGGGCGATTTGTTATCCACGGGCAAGAATTACAATGAGGAGCTAGCCAAGCCAGATCTCTCTTCCATCCGAAAGCCCAGCTTCTCTGCCGCTCAGAGTATTGACATATCCGAACACAACGGCCTCCATATCATCCTTCCGTCTTCGGCATCGCGAGCCACCGCAGCGGGCTGTCTACGGGATCTCAAAAACTGTGTCATTGATCTTTCGATACCCACGGCCCAGGGCGCACCATTCCCAGGTCTTATACTGAAGGATATCGACAGATGTCTCATTGTGGCAGGCCGAGTGAACGGGCCCATCCATATCAACAACGTGACTAACAGCATTCTCGTCGTTGTGGCGCGGCAGGTTCGCATTCATAACTGCAAGAACGTTGATATCTACTTGCACTGCGCCAGCCACCCCATTATCGAGGACTGTTCGGGCATGCGGTTTGCTCCTTTGCCAGAGTGTTATGTACGTGGTTGTTATCGACGACTTTGTTCTTCGTAGAGCGATTGCACCGTGCTGACTCTCTTGATATAGCTGACGGAGGCCGACAAGTCGATCGAGAATCAGTGGGATCAGGTTGATGACTTCAAGTGGCTGAAGACTACCCCGAGTCCGAATTGGGCCACCCTTTCCGAGGCCCAGAGGCTTTCCGAGGAAGTGTGGACGAAAATTGTGCCGGGACAACCGGGCATTGGTGTCGAGAAAGTACTGGCCAAGGTTGGAATTCCGCCAAAGTAACCTATGGGTGAAAATTGAAGCGGGTTATTGCATTGTCGAGCCGCAAGTAGTTAGGTATAGCCGATAGCGTAGTAGCCGCTCAAATGAAACATATCGCGATATCATTCACGAAGCTGAATGCAAGAAAACTTTCACAGCTCCATTTTGTCACCACCGGCGTACGCATCTTTGCTGAACTGTACACCGTTCTCGCGAAGCTTCTCCAGCAAGGCCCGCTGCAACCCGATCCGTGTTTCGAGTTCCTTGATTTCGGTCATTTGCTCTTCAATAGAGCGATCCATGTCCGGCAGTGCGCGAACCTGGGCTCTGGCGTGCTGCAGCTTGTGTTTGAGCTTGTCTGTAGCGCCCGGGACGTCCTTGAAGGAGAGCTGTTGGCCGTTGCTGCTTGGCCCACCAGGCGTAGCTCCTGTTGTGATGCCAGACGAGGACTGGAGGCCGGCGCGGACCTTTGCGAGGACAATGGACAGTTCGGACAGGGCGTCGAGGTCGTCTGGGGACAGAGTAGGCGGCAGGGCGAGCGCCGGCAGTTCTGAAGCCATATTGGTGGTGGACAAAAAAGTCGATCGACGACGATTGTGGTGACTGGATCGGAGGTTTGCGGGAGATGCGACTATTATGACAAGAAGAGTGTCGGAGAGGCGCCAATTCAAGAGTGTAAAGAATGGCGATGAACCTTAATGGCTGGCGAGGCTGCGAACGGCATGCCCTAGCTAATTTGCTCTAGTCTGAAGGCGGTTGACGGAGGAGAGTGGACGCAAAGCACGGCAAAGCACGGCAAAGCAAAAGCTCTGAGCAGCAGCCAGGGAGCAAAACGGGCCGATGCACGGGGGCTCGATTTAGCGCAGCCGTGCTGTAGCTTCCAGGTTCTGCTGCAGAACTCGAGCGATAAGTACCTAAGGTAGGTAGGTGATGACATCGATAGCGGTTGGCAGGCCTATCAACATCAACCCCACCATCCGAAGTCTCTAGTCCAGGTGGGATGTTTTTCAGGTTCTGCCGTGCCAAAAAGATTGACTTCATCTCCCCCCCTCAAATCACGCACCTAAACAACATCCTACTCTCTGCAACTTCTTCTCATCCCGCCAGATATACCAATTGAGCTTGTATCGTAGTTGATCCCGCTCTCACCATGTCCAAGACAGAGCAAAAGGCCTGCCTCAGTACGTCTCCCTCGTCTCCTCCATCTCCCCCATACCTTCCCTTCTGGACGACCTCAACCTCAGCATAAGCCGTTGCCTCGCCATGCCTCTCCCTCCGGCTCTGGCTCTGGACCCCCCCGGCCAATTCCCCGTCACGGCCTGTGGCGCGTCAACTCGGCGCCTCCAGCAGTCTGCATCGGCTCGTCGCCCGTCGCCCGGACTGTATCCTTGCCTGCTGCTTCGTCCTGGTCTATCTTGAGCTTGGGTGGCTAATTCTTGTGCTGTTGCGCTCTCACAGTCGTCATTGATGGCTGGGGCATCCCCTCCGACGAGAGCCCCAAGGATGGCGACGCCATTGCCGCCGCCGAGACCCCCGTCATGGACGAGCTCTCCAAGAGCGAGACGGGCTTCACCGAGCTCGAGGCCTCGTCGCTGGCTGTCGGACTGCCCGAGGGCCTGATGGGCAACTCCGAGGTCGGCCACTTGAACATTGGCGCCGGTCGCGTCGTCTGGCAGGACGTCGTCCGCATCGACCAGACTATCAAGAAGGGCGAGTTCGACTCCAACGAGACGATCAAGAAGACCTTTGAGGGCGCGGCCAAGGGCAACGGACGCCTGCACCTCTGCGGCCTGGTTTCCCACGGTGGTGTTGTAAGTGGCTCGGCGCTTCACAATGACCGGTTAATGCCCTGGAGAATACTGACACGCTGCACAGCACTCGAAGCAGGAGCACCTGTACGCCCTCCTCAAGGCCGCCAAGAAGTACAATGTCCCCAAGGTCTTCATCCACTTCTTCGGCGACGGTCGTGATACCGACCCCAAGTCCGGCGCGGGCTACATGCAGGAGCTGGTCGACTTCATCAAGGAGCTCGGCCTCGGCCAGATTGCCACCGTTGTTGGCCGATACTACGCCATGGACCGCGATAAGCGATGGGAGCGCGTCGAGATCGCTCTCAAGGGCCTTGTTCTGGGCGAGGGCGAGGCTAGCGAGGATCCCGTCGCTACTGTGAAGGCACGATATGAGACGGACGGCAACAACAACAGGGATGAATTCCTCACTCCCATCATCGTCGGTGGTGACGAGAGCCGTATCAAGGGTGAGTTTGCTAGGATATACTTGTTTCGAAGCGAGGGGCTAACACTTGTGGACCAGACGACGACACCGTCTTCTTCTTCAACTACCGATCCGATCGTGCGCGACAAATCACCCAGCTGCTCGGTGATGTCGATCGATCTGTCCTGCCCGACTTCGCCTACCCCAAGATCAACAAGCTCGTGACCATGACCCGTTACAAGACTGATTACCCCTTCGACGTCGCCTTTGAGCCCCAGAAGATGGACAACGTCCTGGCCGAGTGGCTCGGAAAGCAGGGCGTGGAGCAGGTCCACATCGCCGAGACGGAAAAGTACGCCCACGTCACCTTCTTCTTCAACGGTGGTGTTGAGAAGGTCTTCCCTCTCGAGACCCGTGACCAGGACCAGGACCTTGTGCCTTCCAACAAGTCGGTTGCGACCTACGACCAGGCTCCCGAGATGTCTGCGGATGGGGTTGCCGACCAGGTTGTCAAGCGTCTGGGAGAGCAGCGGTTCCCCTTTGTCATGAACAACTTTGCTCCTCCGGACATGGTGGGCCACACCGGTGTCTACGAGGCCGCCATCGTCGGCTGTGCCGCCACCGACAAGGCCATCGGAAAGATTCTGGAAGCCTGCAAGAAGGAGGGTTACATTCTGTTCATCACCGCCGATCACGGCAACGCGGAGGAGATGAAGTTCTCCGACGGAAAGCCCAAGACCAGCCACACCACCAACAAGGTGCCCTTCATCATGGCCAATGCCCCCGAGGGCTGGAGCCTCAAGAAGCAGGGTGGTGTCCTGGGCGACGTCGCCCCTACCATTCTGGCTGCCATGGGGCTGCCTCAGCCTGAGGACATGACGGGCGAGTCGCTCCTTGCAAAGGACCTTAAGAGGAGTGCTGAGGAGTAAAAAAAGGGGTATTTTATGATGATGATGATATGAGGTGGAGGAAGCGAAGAAGAGACGACTACAGAAGCAAGACTGACAGATACAAAGACTACGCGGGCACGATACAAAAGAGGATACGAACGAATAGAATAAGATGGGGGAGCTGCATATATTAGGATAGAGACAGAAGCACCCAAGGAGTGGACAGAATACACCGCCGGTCTGCCACTTCTATTTTGTATGTGATAAGCGGCGCTGTTCTTCTTTCCATCGCATGGCATCGTATTACGAATATCACGGATCGAGTTCCATGTGTGGCAGTGCTGTGGGAGAGAATGCCACATTGCCCAGTATTACCGTCTTGCACGCCGCTACTGACAGGGATCCAAGCTTGCCAAGTCATCCGCTGCGCGTGATTGTGGCAAAGGCAATGGCAAAGGCAATGGCGATAGTAGCTGGGCTGTCTGTTCCTGGTGCTATGCATTTCAGCCCTACAATTCGCCGAGCATATGGCCAAACCATGCCATGTGGCACTGCTGGGACTGGGACCGTTGGCAGAAAGCTTGGCTTGAGCTGCAGCTTGTCGTCCTCCCAGATCATGCCCGGGTTGAATAAGCTGCAGGACACGCAGCTTCCAATGGTCGGTGGACAGGACAAGTATCAGTATGTTAGTAGTAGTAGTAATACGAGATAGCGTGGGGGCAAAGAAAGAAGGAAACAGAGATGCCCGTGTGTTTTGACGATGGGAACGATTCTTTAGCGGTCCAGTTAAGCTGTTTTTTTCTTCTGGATGCCGCCAGCGTCCCCGGATTTCCTCTCTACCAATGGTCCGGGCGGGCGAGTGGCTGCAAATCGACGATCGCCGCAAGAAGGGTCCTGCCCATGCCCTGGTCGAGTGGTGGCAGAATGTGGCAAACGGGCAGCGGGAACGATGCCAGAATGCGAAATAGCGACGTTTGCCTTCTCTGAGAGTTTTGCGATGGTATTGCAAATTGCTCGGCTCCATCTTCTCGAAGAAGCTTTCCCTTCTGAGGGAGCCTCCGACGAATCGGGGCGGTTCCTGGGAGGCGTTTCCGAGCATCAGGATGCGACCTTTGTGTTGTCTTTGCCATTCGACGACCAGATTCGCGAGCCACGACATGTCTCAGATCCGAACGGCTGCCCTCCGATCTCAACGAACTGCACCGCTAGCCCACATCGAAAGGCGGCCTGGTCCCAGGGTGTGGGCTGAGAGAAGACTATCTGTACGACATAGAGAAGGCATCGTGACTGTGGTACCGCGTGTTCTTCATGTGAGAGCTGTTGAAATAGGCTTGGAACTTTGGGGTACGTGTATAGAAAGGATACTGACGAGATGCAGGCCCTACTTCTGATACAAGTCGACGTTGATAACCCCGCTACTGACCTCAGACCAGGGGTTAGGAGCTTAGGTAGGTAAAGAGGAAGGAGAAGTAGATTCAATAGCGCAAGGCAAATTTGAACAATGCGATAAAAAGGCATTCGGGGTCCTCCCCTCCTTCGGCAGACTCCTTACCATCTTCCCAATTTACCGTCGTCTAAAGGCATTTCGACCTGGTAAAGCGGAGCCCATTTCGGCGCCGGTGCGTTTGGCTGCGAGTTTGTCCGTGGGGCCGTATGTCGGCGAGGCCGGCACGTGATTCGCAGGTTCTGACGCTAGCCCAGGACAAGTTCAGTACCTACCTCTAGATAGTACAAGCGCAAGAAGCGCTTCGACGGATTGCGAGTCGACGGTCCCACGTCCTTGTGGCCTGAAGGCGGCAGCAAACCCGCTGTGGCCAGTTTGGGAGCCCTTCAGAGTAGGAGACGAGGCGGATCCATGCTTCTGCGGGGAGCTCATCATGCATCCTTGCGCCCAACGGCGAAGGACCACCGGTAAGGGTCTCCGTGCGAAATGCGTCTCTTATCACCATCTCAATGGTGGGTGAGCATTGCTTCAACAGTGGTTGAACGGAATGGAGGCTGGCGATGGATGATTAGAGGAAATAAGGTGGCGTGACTCGTCGCTTGAAGCCGGTGAGCCCCATGCCATGCCATGCCATGCCATGCCGTGCCGTGCAGCGGTGCACTCCCGTCAACAGTTGGGTCGGAGCCAGCGCCCGTGAGGTCCAAGATGGAGACACGGAACGCACTGCCTAGCATGAAATTGGTACCGGCCGCCGTCGATGGAGCGCCAGGGCCACACCACCACCACCACCTTGCCGATGCGAGACAGGCCCGTCCAGACCCATGGCCAACCCTTGCAGGGCAAGGTCCATAAGTTCTGGACTTTGAATTTGTTCTGGCAGGAAACGTCATAGTGGCGCCACAATGCAGCCTGTATCGAGACTGGCCCCTGGCCGAGCTGCTGGTGGAGGGACCGGTCAAGGGTATCACCCCACGGGAGAGGCATGGTTTTTGTTGCTGTGATGGATGTGATGGGATGCAATTCGGTGGTCGTTGGCTTCGTTAGTACAACTGGAAGTATTCAAAGGGCTCTGCGGGTAATCCGTATGCGCAGCCATGTTTCTTCGCCCACGCGGGGGTGCTCGAAGTTGCGAGGTTGGCGCTGGATCTGGCGGCGACACGAGCACAGAGCAGAGGAGCTGGCTGGGAGCGAGCGAGGAGAGCAGCATCCGGCCTGTACCCGTACAGAAAGATGCTGACCAGTAATATTGCGTGTCGGATCAAGTTAGCTCCGAGGGCTGACCCCAGGAAACGGTTTGCTCGATGCCAGCCCAAAACCAAGATCTACACCCTCCAAACCTTTGCGACCTGCGTCCCGGCAAGGCGCTGGTTGGCCGGGATGGCGCCGCCCACTCAGTGGAGGAACGGCAGGCCGCTCAGGACCACGCCATCTTGCGAACTTTTACGCGCTGCCGGAGCAGGAGCAGACCAGGCGAGGGCACGAGGGCCGAGCAGAGAGAGGCTGGAAGTAAAGAGAACACCCACCGAGCAGAACTCCGCCGTGACTTGCGAGAGTAGGTAGTCGAGAAGGTACTAAGTAGTAGTATGTAGGAGTAACACACCACAGATAGTCCCAGTAGATAGTTCACTGCTGATTGAGGGCTTCAGGTCATGGCGGCGGCTGGCGCGTTTTGGGCTGCTGGCAGCAGGCTGTCGCTGCGCCCAGTTGCTGAGGGACGAACCGCGCCTGTAATTCCCGTTGTTGTAGACGCAGCAGCGTGTAAAATGAGTGTTTCTGTAGGTAGGAGGTATGTAGGGGAAAATGATCTGAACCGACCCGAACACAAGTTATTGCTTGTACGGGCAATACTATCAGCTACTCCAGGATACCAAGCAGATAAACCATCGCCTCAATGGTCAGATTGCAACTTTAGGCTTCCATCACCAGCGCGAGGCTGCAGTAGCGATGGGAAAGGCCACTGGGCCTGTCGACAAGCACAAGCAACGAAACAAAGCCACACGCCGTCTTGCAGCTCTGCACCGTGCACCGGGACGCGAAAGCAGGCTCCTCGCTAGCAACACACACCCCGGGAGTGAGACCCTGATTTCCATCGTCGTGCCTTGATGCTGCTGCAATTGCACCGATCGCAGCGCTCTGCATCGCGACGTGCGAATCGAACGCTTCACGGCGCCATCAGCCCCAGGCGGCGGCTTTGCTTCAACTTGTACGAGCATATTCCCGTGGCGATGGCCTCGCCATTGACAAAAGCCAGCCAGAAACAACAGCTCTCCTCCACCCCAAACTTACTCTCTGGTAAACTGGATAACCCATTTCCCTCCGTCGCCTCCGCGCGCCACACGGCCGTCTGTCAAGGGCGGGCTGCGGCTTGATTGCGATTGCAGAAATTGTCGAGCCCTCGAAAAAGATTTCCCCTTCCATTTTGGCCTTGCCATTCCCCTCCCGC